CAGTGAATCATCATGCAACAATAGAGGAAGCGGCATTTTCTGTGGGGGCCACCCCAAGCGAGGATCTCAGGCAGCTGAGAAACAGAACTGAGGGCGTCTCTTCAGATGACAGCTGGCAGATGGAGGAGTTGAGTTCTGGAGCTCCAAGTGAGCAGTTAGTCGAGAGTTGAGCTCTGCAAAGGTAAGTGAGAAGAGAGGGCAGTTGCAGCAGAGAACTGGATTTAGAGTTTTGGAGTTGGAAGTTGAGTGGGTTCACTTAAGAGTTGAAAGTAGAGCAGTGAAGAGAAGACTTTACATGTGCTGTTGTACACAGATATTTGGAGTTTGTTTCAGTGAAAATCTGTGTTAAAATCCATTACCAGGGAATGACTAGTGGAGAGGGTAACAGACTGAGGAAACTAGTGTACATGTGTGTGCGTGCGTGCGTGTAATGGTGAGCTGTAAAGTGTGAAAATTAGTGATAGTGCTGTATTACTTGTAATTATGAGTGGTGTGTATGAAGTGTCAACAAACCCAATCATCCAATCCAAAACCTGTCTAATAGTTATGCACCCCTACACATCACAATATGTAATACCAAACAGATGGCAGTATTCAGCCTCTTAACCCTTTCAATGCTGAGAAATTATCCCCCCCTCACCTATTTTTGTAATTTTCTTTACATACAGAAACAAAGGAGAGCTCTTGGATCTGCTTGCTACCTGGATGCAGCTACCAGCTTGCATTCTGGATTCTTGCATTAATTACTCTCTGACCTTGAAGATGGAGGCGATAATTTCCTCCAAAACATCAGTTTACTTTCAACAGACTACATGGCATTAAATCTATGAAGACAGAACTCTTCGCTATGAAGATGGTTTGGTGAATACTTGTAGAATGATTTTTAATACCCCAGTGATGTAGTGTTGGGTATCTGCAGTACTAGATGCAACATTTTCTAAATGTTTTTACAGATGGCATACAAAGGAGGCTGAGATTTCTGATACGAAATTCACCATATTCATGATAGATGGAAATATATATCCAGAAAATATGAATATACTGTGACAAATATGACAATTGCTAAGATAGCGGCTCAGTAAACACAGTCCTGAGGAGATGCAATCAACAACAGAGGTACCTAAATTGCTGAGCAGCAAGTTGCTGGGCATGTTTTGTGGTAATGGGCCAAACACAGATAATAACAGACAAACTGTTTGAGGTGGTGGTCTCTCTTCCTTTCACCCCGAGTTATGAAAGAGAGGGCATTCGTCAATTCAGATTCATTCATAAGAGAGTTGGGTGTTCAGCTGTGCAGTGATAACAAGCAGACAGCAGAAGATGAAAAAGTGATTGATTCGTAAATCAGAACCAAGTCAGTCACAGTGGAAGTGAAGACACTTGCAGTCCACTAAGGAATGGAGCTAGTCTTAAACAGTCATTGATTGTAAGCGTTATAATTGATTGCAATTGTAAAGATGTCAATAAATCCAATCATCCAATCAGAACCCATTATTATTTGTCATGGAACCCCAAACATATGACAACATTAAAAAAATAATTTGGGAGATACGAGCTTCTGAAATATGGAACCTAATGAAATTGAGACAGCAAGAATGCCATATTACAGGTGTCTGGAATATTACATGCTCAGCAGTGTAAAGGTTAACCTAAAGCTATGGCAAAGGCATACAATCCAACTACAGCATCAGCTGCAATTTCATGTCCCCATTAATGTGAACAGTGTATGATGGAAGGAACAAACCTCTTGCAGTCAATACCATCCCAGCTCTCACTGCTCACCGATGGGATGGCATGATCCAGATCATGATCTAGGAACTGTCCCCATTGCATCACCATGTGGGTCAGCCGGTCATCAGGTGTCACTTCCTTGGTACTGATGATTCGTGTTGACACTAACCGTGCACTCGGCTTATGGAACCCATAATACTTCATGGTCTTCTTCCAACCTGCAATGAGTTTCAACTTTGAAGATTGCTATCTTCTGAAATATGATACTCCAGCACAATTTTATTAACATGTGGGAGAAACATGCTGTCACCATCTTCAGAGTAGAATACGAATAACCAAAAGGTTTCTCCATAATATTCTCCTTGCATTTATTTTTTTATTCAAGCTACAAGACCTCTGCTGTTTAAACAACCAACCGACCGACCAACCTCATGGAGCTGAGCATTTCTTGAGAAGCCTCCAATTGTTCAGCTATTTTACTACCCTAATAATATACATCATATTACCTGTATAAATCCAGAAATTCCTCATTATGTTCATTGATTTCATCCCTTTTGGGCCCAAACACTTGACTCAGTATTTTCTTTACCTTCTTCCCTCAAATCATTATACTTCACATGGATTGCTGAATGAAGCTGTTTAATAATTGTTCAGCAGGGATATGTGGCATGCCTAAAAACTGGTAGTCAACTCTGGTTATCTGCTATCCAAGCATCTGGAATTCTCGTCAACATTTAAAATAAAATATATTTTTATAAAAGCTATTCAAAAGCAAATTTGAGATGCACGTTCACTCGCCATGTGATATTTCACCCAGCCACCACTAGCAGTGCTGCCTGTCATTCTCACTCATGCAGATGTCATTAGATTAGAGGCTACTTGAATCTGTGATCATTGTTACAGAATATGTATTAGAAATCTTCCATCTATCAAATCTGCTACATTGTCTTGGAAGACCCCCACATAAGAACTAAAGCAAAAACTTGTTGGGAGTTCTGTAAGAATTTTCGTAAGGAGCTGGGCAGTTCATGTATCCAGCATTCCCCACACATGCCAGATGACAAGGAGTTCACTGCACTTCTGTAGCCTGCCTGAAAAATTTGAAGTTACACCATATCTGAATAGGCAAATGCTTCATGAATATTTTAAAATAACTATTCATGGTGTGCTTAAAAACAGAAATATTTTTATAGTTTCAGAATTAGTACAACAAACTTTTGCGGGAAGGCTGAATTATAGATTATTTGGCAACATATATAAACTACAGAGGTTATTCTTTGTAGCATTAAATGAAATGTGAATGAAGATTATGTATGGTGGATTTGAAAGGACTGATGAAGAAACAATCACGGTCATTTCTACATACTACCCTGATACTTATGGGGCAGAACTGAGGAACTACATTACTGATCGAAATAAGACATAATTCTAATGAACATTTTTAAGGCTTTAACATAAAATGTAAGAGGGAAAATTTTTGAATAAATTAACATAAATTTAATTCTCACTCACATATATATGCAAATAAAAATTTAACATTTTATTAGTAATATAGTTACTTTTTTATTGAACTGTTTCTTTGAAAAACGTTTTTGTGTGCACCACACTCTTTCCAGTTACTTACCAACTGGCATGCTGAAGCCATTCTCATAGATGGGTTTCAGGATCCTACGGAATCCTGTGAGGGATGCGCCCCACATGGGGTGCTGCAAGTTGTTGCAAGTTCCATCAATGGAGCGATACTTTCCATGGTAGCACATGTCAGAGCAGTTGGTGTGTGGACGATGCATCATGCAGCCTGAGAGGTTGGCCACCAGTTCCAAGTGTGATGGAGACAGGAGGTCCTTGTATGAGAAATCTGCAGGAAGAAAGCAGTATTTCTACATGGTGGCTATTGAACAGGAGTTCAGATGGAGGGAGTCCCAATGCAAATACTGCATACAAGCTTTAGCATCTAGAGATCAGTGATTTTAAATCTTCCAGTGCTATGGAGGCTCTGGAATGTATGGGTAATGGTATTAGTATTAAGAAAATGCAACTTTTGGCTAACCAGGCTGCACATAAAACACCAAGCAGAATAATCATTTCACCAAATGCTCCATTCTGTTGCCTTTCACATCAGGCTGGCACATTGCGCCCAACCCCACTTATGGGGCTTATCTCATCTGATCATAAAAGAACAAGTGAAAGAAGAGGAAAAGATGAATGAGAAGAAAAGGAGAACATAAAGGGGAGGAGGAGGGGGATGAGAAGCTGCCTTCAAATTCTCCCCTCACAGCAAAGGCAGGAGGTTTCTCCAGAAGCTGTACTGTATCTAATGAATTACATGGCACCATATCCCTGAAGACCACATCTACATGTTCATGGCCATGAGAAGAATCCCAAATACCTACGTCTAAATGTATTTATTTACAACATGCAAATTATCTAAACTGAAGAAACTGCCACAGTCACTGATACTGAACATTTGAAATTAGAGCGTCAACACAAATGTGTATGAAATAATGTGACAACCATGAATATGCACAATCAAAGCTTCACAATTTGTCACTGAACATTATTATGATGATTGAATCAAGCAGAATGAGGTGAGCAAAACATGTAGCATATATGAAATACATCAGAAATGCATACAAAATTTTCTTTGGAAAAAACTGAAGGGAACAGGCAATTTGGCAGATCTAAGTATAGATAGGAGGATAATATTAAACTGGATCTTAATCTTTAAACGCCAGACTTCTGAAATAGTGGTAAGCTTGAGCTGGCCAGAGTTTATTTAAATGCCTGCTGCTGGTGCACGTTTAAATGCCTGTTGCTACTCTGCATTTAAATGTCTGTTCCTGTTAGGGCGCTTAAACAATTTTAAGCATTGTGTTTAAAAATGCTGTATCTAACTCAATTTTTATGATAAATGAATGGAATTAACTTTGTTTGTATCAGCAAAGAACATAGTGTCGCATATTATAACGGAAGATTTGAAAATTTTTATACAAAGTGTTATACTATATTTTCAAATTTCTGTCTTTTAATTTTGATGCGTACTGCAAAAATGGTTTCCCAATTCTTCACAGAGTTGTTCTGCATTATAAATTCATTTCTGTTGGTAACACTTGACAAATTTTAGCAGACCCTGGTGTCATAAAACAGATGAAACCAATAAAATCATTTGGTTCTCTGTTGGGAAACCTTACATCTTGTTATACTCTTTGGATTTTTTAATCTTGACTGAAGGACAGAAGAATGAAAGAATGGTTATTCAAGAGAAAGCTAGAGGGGTCCCTTTCTCAGTGCTAAAACCTTCCGTTATAGCTGCAAGAGATTACTGCCCTTTCTAGGGTCGTGAACAGACAGTTGCATCGTGGCTGAGTTACAGAGTGTGATCTGTTTTCTGTGAGTTCACAGTGAAATCAAATACTGTAGTTTCATTTCAGCCTACATATACATCAAGCAGGTAACAACAAAAAAGGTATATACATAGAATTGTACTATATATTTTTAACACATTAATCTGCAGAATCTGCAATAAAAGTAGTGGCTCGTGGATGAGTTTGGGCATAACTCATACATATATACTTTTTTGCTGTTGTTGACTTAGGTATCATTTTAATTCCTCTATTATGGTTTTACTCAAGTCTGTCTGGTAATTACTGCATTTAAAAATAAATATTTAGGACTGTGCATTCGCTTCTACTAGCGGAGTTTAAATGCCCGACTGGCCAAAACAGGGTACTTTGGCCACGACGATCATACTCATTACTGGCACAAATGGGGCACTTCAGCACTTAAAGGTTAAGAAGGTAGAATGGGAGGCTGTGGATGAATTTATTTGGCTCACTAGAAAGACCAGGTGCAGGCTCCTGTGAACATGGCCATGAACCTCCGACTTCCATAAAAGGCAGGGGATTCTACATCTAGCTGAGTGGCAATCAACATCTCACAAACTCTGCTCCATCAGTGCAGTTCTCACAGGATGGTTCTGCTCCCCATTTGCAAGCAATGTGGCTACTGTCTACAAAACTCTTGTGTTCCTCAGTGCTTGGGCAGCCAAGCAGTCATATTCAGTAAAATGGACAGATAAAAAGAAACCTCAGCAATGTTCAACAAAAACACTATTTAGCGACTATGGGGAATAAAAATCAAATGGAAGCACTAATGTTGTAAAACAGTATTCCTATTTTTCCAGCTGTGGTGAATATTCATCTACCTTAACTATGTTATATGTCCACCTCATAATGACTTCATTATATCTAGTTACCATAACAATATAATACTGAGACCTGTGGAAGCACTATGGATCAACTCCCTCTATATTTTTCTCAAGATGTTACCCTTTCTCTTTCAATATACTTCTCTATATTCCTCTCCAGTTGCCTAACCATTTTGTTCGCATGAATGCAGGCAATGATAACCATTGCTAGTGAAAGTGCTTTGGGCTGGTTTGCACAGGTTTGTGGGAAGGTGGAGGGAACAGAACAGGAGCAGAGTATGTAGTGCCTCAAAATTCATCATACCCATCATCTATGGGGCTTCTGTTGGCTCAGTACAGATAACCAATATAAATCACGAAGTTCTTTATTCACCTTAAAATATATTAATTGCAGAACCTATTATGTACGTTGGTCAGTGGTGCCACCTATGCAACATACCTGTAGTCAAGTTTATGTTCATGCCTGCTTCGACATGTTTCCTAATGTTGATTAATGTTCTCTCATAAATGTCAGCTGCTCTTGCCACATCACGAGCCTCAGCGTTAGGGAAGCGTAGCAGCCTGAACAGTTCGTTAGGGGATGAGTTCTTAGCTCCTCGCTCACGGCCAAACAGCTTAGTAAGCGTGTCATTGACAGCCTTGTCCACAGATTTTCTGGCCTCTTGGAATGATACATGAACAAATCTGTCACCTGGTCCCATCATAGGTTCCTCTGAAAGACAAAGCAGGGTCTTCAGTTAATTGCAGAAATATAAACTACTGCTACCACTCTGCAGACATGCAGTCACAAAATAAACTTGCCTTTAACTGTTAAATGTCCCTGAGCTCTTGCACGACCATTGTTATTGACAGCGGAACATTCGTATATGCCTGCATCCTCTTGCGAGATATTGGATATGTATAAACTTCCCACAGATGAAATCCTAAGAGAAAAAATAAATCATGTTTACAACAAACTGCATATGGTACAAGCATTCCCATACACCAGTGAAAATACTCTATGTAATCAAATATAAACTGCGCTTTATCCTCAAAGCTGATACTTTTATATTCAGGGTGTAGCTTATAAGCAGATCTTAAAGATAAAAGATGTCATTGGGTTGTTTAGATCTGGTAAAGGTAAACAGTAAACACATACACATCACTTCTGGTACTGCTGAACTAGAGACACTGTTGAACTATTCAGTGGCAGTAAGGCAAGCATTCACTGTAATTTACTTACAGCTACCTATGAGAATAGAAGTGAGAAATAATGTCCAAAAGTAAAAAATCATACAAATATGATACTATTTTCTTTCAAGAGCACATAATTTTGTGGGTGTGCCTTATATTCAACAGGAGCTTATATTTGTGCAAAATACCATAATGCACACATTTCCTGTGTCTTAGACACACAGTGGGCAGCAATTCTTCCCTATCAGGCTGTTGCTGTGACTTCTCCATCCATACACAATCTGTATGTCATTGCAATATAACATGCTGTATGGTACACTATAAACTTTGTCATACCTTGAGTGGACAACCTCACATAGGAAAAGTCATGTATATTTAATGAAATCTCCAATATGGTAATGTTGGTTACCATTGTATGCCGAGAACAGAATTCCGTTAATTTCTAATGAGGATATAACAGTCTACATCACTATCTGATGATGACACATCCTCAAAAATCTGACAATAGGTAGAATCTACACACACACACACACACAAGTCAATTCCTGTCATGCTTGGTGAGAAGCCAAGCCTCAACTGCAGCTATGATACAAGGTGAGCCTGAACTACCTTCCACCATGGCTAGGATATGGGGAACAGAATGACAATCGGACAGACATAAGAAAGGACTGGAAAGTGAAACATGAGAAAGGAGGGAAGGACATAAATGTAGAAAACAGATGAAGGAACAGAATAATAAGGTTGAGGGGGCTGTTTTAACAAACTGGTGAGAGGAAAGGAGAGGGGTAAATGGTGTCCAGATTGATATATACAAGGGATGGGAAAGGAAGAAAGGGGTGCAGGAACTGTTTAATGTATAAGGGGAAGTGAGAGAGGGAGGTGGACAGAACTGATGATAGGAGGAGTAAGCAAAAGGGATAAAAAGGCCCAGGAGCTGGGATGTATTGCCATGGACAGAGGCAGAAACTTAACTTTAGCTTTGGGCAGTACACAACAGTATTCCAAGAAGAAGTGTATGTAAATTAAGGCATGCACAGTTGAGAATCTAGATAGAAACTATAAAAATAGGAACATCTATATTCTATCAGAGAGTCAAGTTGCAATTAAAGCACTTGGCAAACGCCAGATCACTTCAAAACTGGTCTGGGATTGCCACCAATCCCTCACACAACTGGCCGAACATAACAGGGTTCAAATGATATGGGTGTCAGGTCATGAGGGTATCGTGGGTAATGAAATGGCAGATCAACTGGCAAGAACAGGATCTGAACATCTGTTCACAGGACCTGAACAAGCTTGTGGCAACTCAACTGGAGTTACCAAGAGGTCAGTGGATGAGCAGAAATCACAAAAAACGTTAGGAAGCCATAATTGGACTCAAATAGGCAGAGGGATTTATACAAGGGCCCTCTGCCAGAAGAACAAAAAATCTGCTGAAGCTAAACAGAGACCAATTAAGATGGGTGACAGGACTATTTACAGAACAGTCACCTTAAAGGACACCTTTTCAAACGGCGGTTAACAGATGATCCCACTTGTGCAGGGTGTCTAGAAGAGGTTGAATCAGCCACACATATCCTATGTGACTGTGAGGCCATAGTTCATTTAAGATACTGCCACCTGGGCCAGTACTTCTTGGAACTAAGTGACTATTATGACCCTCCATAAATAGGGTCCTATATTTCATCCAAAGTGTAGGATTAATAAAGTATTAATCTAAGGGGAAGCACAGTGATAGTCGCAGTGCAAGGGCCAAATTATTATGACCCACGATTACACACACACACATATATATATGGTACAAGTAAAAGGGATGGGAAAAATACAGAAGAAAGGAGGAAAGGAGATAAAGGTATCACAGGAATAAATGGCAGGAATTAAGGGGATGATGATGATGACACAAAATAAATTATTTTTCTGCTCATCTTTGATGAGTCATGACTTAGCAGTGAAATAGATAATGGTAACAAAGACACCCACCATGGAGCTGTTGCAGGGAAATTAAGTTTCAGCATCCCAATGAGTGTTTGGCAGTGGGGAATTCTCACAGACTGGCAGAGGTGAAAATGGAGTCCTAGCTTTTGTCAATGGAAAGTTGTGTTCTAGCTGTATTCATGGAAAATTACACTTAATGCTGAAAATTAAGGAAAGGAAGCTATACAAAGGGAAGAAACCAGTGGCAGTTTTATGGTGGAAACTCTACTGCACTTATGACATACTTTTCTCACAGCTGTGAATATTGTGATGAATATGATCATTTGCTAGGCTATGGCTTGGTAAACATTGCCTGAAAGCCAGAATAACAACAGAAGAGAAGTCCATTTCCTGGGCAACGGCTTGGTAAACACCGCCTGAAGGCTGGAATAACAACAGAAGCGGAAGTCCATTTTCTAGGCAACAGCTCACTACTTTCTGCTACAATGGACAACAGACCTAACACATGAAGTGTTCAGTGTGGTGGCTTCTATTCAGAGCTCTTGAAATTATAAAAGAGAGTTCATTTGTGAATTCACTGGGTTCATTCATAAGAGAATTCAGAAGGCAGTTCAGAAGTTGACTTTTCAGCTGTGAAGTGCTAACCAGTGAACAGTGGTAAATCCGAACTAAGTCAGTCAGGCAGAAGGGAATACACTCATAGTCCATCAAGGAATGGAGGGAGTCATAGACAGTCACTGATTATGAGCTGTCATTATTGATTGTAATTGTAAAGAAGGGCCAATAAATACAATCATCTAATCCAGAACCCATTATTAATAGTCACACAGACCCAAATATGTGACAATATTAACACTGCAGTCTTCTGGAATGTAACACTATGTTGTCTGACAGACAGTTATCAAGATTTTGAAACACTGTAATGCCTCCATCTTCAGGAATACAGTGTCATATCCCAGAACACCACACTTCTCAACAGACTGAGATAATGAAAATCTCACCTGTGTTTCTTAGTGAGTGGCAGAGCAGCACCATCTTTGGTCCATACAATGCTTGGCTTAGGGTTACCTTCAGCCTTACATGGTATCTCAATGGTGCTTCCCCTTGGCGCATCCATGTTGTAGGGTGTGATCATCAGTCTCGGAGCTGGCCCATCCTTCTGAGCAAAGTGCTGGGTGCTGGTGTCTCGATAGACTCCAGTGACAACAAGATGTGCGCTTGTCTCCTTGAACCCTACAGTATTCTGGGCTCGACATGTGTACAGCCCAGAGTCCGACTCCTTCACATGTTGTATGTACAGCTGCTGCCCTGCAATGGGACAGAGGAACTCATCAAACACAATTCTGCCATTATCCTTGCACCTTCAAGAACTGTGACATAATTTACCAAGTTATTCAAGGCCAAGTACACTTTTCTTATGTTACTGGAACATTAAATGATTAGTTATAGGATGCCTAGAAATGGATCCATTTATGGGAACAACGCATCCCTGCACATTATACAAAATTTAAAAATCTTAATAAACCATCATCTGGTATATGGTAGGGCATCCAGGCCACAGTTTACAATTACACAGTGACATCTTATACCTGCAGACAGTGCATATTTAATCAATTTATATCAATTTCATATTTGGTCGAGATTAATATATTTACATTGTTATCACTTTAACACTTGTACGTTTAGAATAACTGCATATTTTAACCAAGTTTATTTACATACAGTTCTAATTTATTCATCCATTAACATCGCCTTAAATAATATAGGAAATCATTAAGAATAAGATTTCATGAACAGGAATTTGCTAAAAATAAACCCAGAAATCAACTACTAAGACTACTCTAACCACACATACTTAATTGCATCCTGTGTATGACCACGGGTAGTGGCACAAATTTACCATGTTAAAATATTACTAAGCCACCCTGTAAATGTTGCTTCAGGAAATAATTGTCATTGTGGGAATCACACAAAACCACATAGCACGCTGTTTCACCGGTCTTTCAGACAACACTCACTCCTAAGTGAATATCAAATTGCCAGACATTGCGCTCATATTTATACAGCACTCGCTGTCCAACCCACCTCTAGACCATCACGTGCGCTAACCAATCACATTGCTGCAGCACTCGTATTTATACAGCACTTGCTGTCCAGCCCACATTTAGATCATAATGTGCACTAGCCAATCAGTGTTCACAATCGCAACTGCAAGTTTCGCTCTGCCCATCAAACATGGTATAAAAGGCGGAGCCCAAAGCTCGCAAAGTTCAGTGATCACATTCAGTTCAGAGTGATCAGTCATCAGAGGCATCAGAGGCATCAGCTCTTCTCTGTGACCAGGCAACTGACGTACGTGTAGTTGCCGCAAGTCTCCAGCGACCACGCTCTGTGACCAGGCAATTGACATAGATGCCACAAGTCTCCAGCGATCATACTCTGCGACCAGGCAACCAATGTAGTTGCCGCAAGTCTCCAGCAACCACACTCTGCAACCAGGCAACTAATGCAGCTGCCGCAACTCCAGCACGCACACCATGGGCAGCCGTTTCTACCGGCGTATGCAGCACTATATCACTGGCCAGACAGGCCTACTGTCAAGGAACAAATGGCCCTTTTCAGGGCCCGTAAACTTTCCAAAGTGGTCGTCTATTGGAGTATCAACAAATTCCACACATAAATACAATCTGTGGGCAAAGTACAGAATTTTCCAATATTAAAGGTGGTATTACATATAATTAGACTTGCCATATGTTGTGATTTGATTGGGACAGTCCCAGTTTTGAGCTCTTCTCCCAGTGTCCCAGCTGGTTCATAAATTCATCCCAGTTTGTAGTTCTATCCCCTCTGTCCCATATTTTCTGCCTCATCGATAAAAATCTTCCAACCTTGCACTTGTCCCAAATGCTATTCAACTTCAATTCAATGTTTTCTGGATAAACATAACTGTCAATGGTGGGAGAAGTTCCCTCCTGCTTTCATAACCTTAAGAGTGAAAAACAGTGTTGGTCTTGTGCATGTCAGAAAGCAGGTATGCAGTTTGTTATAGATTGCTGCCACATTTTGACATTTGTTGTAACTTACTTTATGAGAAAACAGTTCTTTACAGCAACAGTTTCAAGTAACTATTACCTAAAATGCCCCCCCCCCAAAAATATAAATTTACTGATGAGACGAAAAAGACTATCCATTTTAACCCTTCAGTGAGGGAATTTAAATATCGCTGTTGTGGGGCCTCCTGCGGTAGTATTTTTTAGTTGCCCATTTAAATTTTGCTCTAAATTATATTATGTATCATAACTTTTGAACTATATGGGATATAATTATGAATTTTTCACTGAAATCATCTTAAAAGATGGTTTCATAATCTTACCTTATAATATGAGCGCCCTCTATCTGAGCGATGGAAGCAAGTGAATTAGAAGTTGAGTTTCATATGGTATTTCTTGAAACATCCATCTGAACACAACCCTGCCTCACATTCACTACACCAGTAAGTAGATTCTTTCCTTTTGCCATGTTTTGCGCACACCACACATCTTTTTTGAGGCTTTGCCTCTTTCCTTTGGCTGGAATATGCTCCAGGAAATGTCATTCTGTGAGTCTTTTACGCAGCGGCTCAACTGACGGATGGCCGTATACAGGACGAAGAACACCAGAACCGTGCGTTTCCACGAGGCCTTGTGCTAGTGAAAGTCTGAACTTTTATCGGCCATCCATCGTAACTGTGAGGTCACGCATTCTATTTAGACTGACTGGCAGAGCTGCAGGAAATTGAATCTTATGGTTACACAAACAGAGAGCGTATTCTTTTCTGAACAGCCCAATGCAATCGTCATCATGCTGGCATGTTTCGTTCCATATTTATGGGCCTTCGAAATTAGGCTTACAGCTTGGCGTACCATGTACGGCAAGCCACAGGTAGGACCATTTAAATACCAGCGTACCGTGTAAAGCAAACCACGCTTAAGGGTTAAAGAAAAGTTGAATGTATGAGGGGGAGGTATCCTCGGCCCTTGCACCGCGACTTGCAGTGGTCTATTAGTAATAATTATGTTGAATGTTCACAACATAGATCAGAATTCTCAGTACTCCATGGTGGATGTTCTGACACTAAAGACCATCTGAACACGATTTTCAAAGAAAGAAAAGAGAACTGTTTTATTTCACATGGAGCTAAATTACTGTTATGGAAATTAGAGGATGCTGGAGATATTAAATTCAAAAATTTAATTGAAGATGATGCTTTTTATGGAAGATTTATATCTTAATCCTTTGGGAATAAAGTTTTTTAGATTCTAAGTCCTTAACATGGATAGACTGTGAATTTACTTGGGCAAAAGATGAAAAAAAACTGCAGAATTACCAAAGAAAACATGAAAAGGCAATAATAGATATTGGCAGCCTTTATGATGTATTATTTTCAAAGAAATACCAGCGTACCGTGTACAGCAAACCACACTTAAGGGTTAAAGAAAAGTTGAATGTATGAGGGGGAGGTATCCTCGGCCCTTGCACCGCGACCTGCAGTGGTCTATTAGTAATAATTATGTTGAATGTTCACAACATAGATCAGAATTCTCAGTACTCCATGGTGGATGTTCTGACACTAAAGACCATCTGAACACGATTTTCAAAGAAAGAAAAGAGAACTGTTTTATTTCACATGGAGCTAAATTACTGTTATGGAAATTAGAGGATGCTGGAGATATTAAATTCAAAAATTTAATTGAAGATGATGCTTTTTATGGAAGATTTATATCTTAATCCTTTGGGAATAAAGTTTTTTAGATTCTAAGTCCTTAACATGGATAGACTGTGAATTTACTTGGGCAAAAGATGAAAAAAAACTGCAGAATTACCAAAGAAAACATGAAAAGGCAATAATAGATATTGGCAGCCTTTATGATGTATTATTTTCAAAGAAATNCTGTGACCAGGCAACTGACGTACGTGTAGTTGCCGCAAGTCTCCAGCGACCACGCTCTGTGACCAGGCAATTGACATAGATGCCACAAGTCTCCAGCGATCATACTCTGCGACCAGGCAACCAATGTAGTTGCCGCAAGTCTCCAGCAACCACACTCTGCAACCAGGCAACTAATGCAGCTGCCGCAACTCCAGCACGCACACCATGGGCAGCCGTTTCTACCGGCGTATGCAGCACTATATCACTGGCCAGACAGGCCTACTGTCAAGGAACAAATGGCCCTTTTCAGGGCCCGTAAACTTTCCAAAGTGGTCGTCTATTGGAGTATCAACAAATTCCACACATAAATACAATCTGTGGGCAAAGTACAGAATTTTCCAATATTAAAGGTGGTATTACATATAATTAGACTTGCCATATGTTGTGATTTGATTGGGACAGTCCCAGTTTTGAGCTCTTCTCCCAGTGTCCCAGCTGGTTCATAAATTCATCCCAGTTTGTAGTTCTATCCCCTCTGTCCCATATTTTCTGCCTCATCGATAAAAATCTTCCAACCTTGCACTTGTCCCAAATGCTATTCAACTTCAATTCAATGTTTTCTGGATAAACATAACTGTCAATGGTGGGAGAAGTTCCCTCCTGCTTTCATAACCTTAAGAGTGAAAAACAGTGTTGGTCTTGTGCATGTCAGAAAGCAGGTATGCAGTTTGTTATAGATTGCTGCCACATTTTGACATTTGTTGTAACTTACTTTATGAGAAAACAGTTCTTTACAGCAACAGTTTCAAGTAACTATTACCTAAAATGCCCCCCCCCCAAAAATATAAATTTACTGATGAGACGAAAAAGACTATCCATTTTAACCCTTCAGTGAGGGAATTTAAATATCGCTGTTGTGGGGCCTCCTGCGGTAGTATTTTTTAGTTGCCCATTTAAATTTTGCTCTAAATTATATTATGTATCATAACTTTTGAACTATATGGGATATAATTATGAATTTTTCACTGAAATCATCTTAAAAGATGGTTTCATAATCTTACCTTATAATATGAGCGCCCTCTATCTGAGCGATGGAAGCAAGTGAATTAGAAGTTGAGTTTCATATGGTATTTCTTGAAACATCCATCTGAACACAACCCTGCCTCACATTCACTACACCAGTAAGTAGATTCTTTCCTTTTGCCATGTTTTGCGCACACCACACATCTTTTTTGAGGCTTTGCCTCTTTCCTTTGGCTGGAATATGCTCCAGGAAATGTCATTCTGTGAGTCTTTTACGCAGCGGCTCAACTGACGGATGGCCGTATACAGGACGAAGAACACCAGAACCGTGCGTTTCCACGAGGCCTTGTGCTAGTGAAAGTCTGAACTTTTATCGGCCATCCATCGTAACTGTGAGGTCACGCATTCTATTTAGACTGACTGGCAGAGCTGCAGGAAATTGAATCTTATGGTTACACAAACAGAGAGCGTATTCTTTTCTGAACAGCCCAATGCAATCGTCATCATGCTGGCATGTTTCGTTCCATATTTATGGGCCTTCGAAATTAGGCTTACAGCTTGGCGTACCATGTACGGCAAGCCACAGGTAGGACCATTTAAATACCAGCGTACCGTGTAAAGCAAACCACGCTTAAGGGTTAAAGAAAAGTTGAATGTATGAGGGGGAGGTATCCTCGGCCCTTGCACCGCGACTTGCAGTGGTCTATTAGTAATAATTATGTTGAATGTTCACAACATAGATCAGAATTCTCAGTACTCCATGGTGGATGTTCTGACACTAAAGACCATCTGAACACGATTTTCAAAGAAAGAAAAGAGAACTGTTTTATTTCACATGGAGCTAAATTACTGTTATGGAAATTAGAGGATGCTGGAGATATTAAATTCAAAAATTTAATTGAAGATGATGCTTTTTATGGAAGATTTATATCTTAATCCTTTGGGAATAAAGTTTTTTAGATTCTAAGTCCTTAACATGGATAGACTGTGAATTTACTTGGGCAAAAGATGAAAAAAAACTGCAGAATTACCAAAGAAAACATGAAAAGGCAATAATAGATATTGGCAGCCTTTATGATGTATTATTTTCAAAGAAATACCAGCGTACCGTGTACAGCAAACCACACTTAAGGGTTAAAGAAAAGTTGAATGTATGAGGGGGAGGTATCCTCGGCCCTTGCACCGCGACCTGCAGTGGTCTATTAGTAATAATTATGTTGAATGTTCACAACATAGATCAGAATTCTCAGTACTCCATGGTGGATGTTCTGACACTAAAGACCATCTGAACACGATTTTCAAAGAAAGAAAAGAGAACTGTTTTATTTCACATGGAGCTAAATTACTGTTATGGAAATTAGAGGATGCTGGAGATATTAAATTCAAAAATTTAATTGAAGATGATGCTTTTTATGGAAGATTTATATCTTAATCCTTTGGGAATAAAGTTTTTTAGATTCTAAGTCCTTAACATGGATAGACTGTGAATTTACTTGAGCAAAAGATGAAAAAAAACTGCAGAATTACCAAAGAAAACATGAAAAGGCAATAATAGATATTGGCAGCCTTTATGATGTATTATTTTCAAAGAAATTTATAGTTGATTGTGACAGAAAGATATGCTGTGAGGAGAAATGGATCACGCAGAAAAATGTGTTGAACTTCTTAACGAATTTGTGAGAAGAATATTCTGGCTATTAATCAGATGAAAGTTACTGATTTTAACCTCCTGCTTGCCTGGAACATAAGTTCCTGTTGAATGACTGTTGCCAATTATGAAAAGCATGTGGTCCCTGGAATGTAGCCATATGTTATAAAATACAGTTTAAATGCTACTGTTTTCAAAGTTAATACTGAACTAACATATCGGAATTTTATGAAAAACTGAAACTAACCATACATTTCTACAGAAAGTAGTTTCTCGTGAAGTATATAAATGATATGCCAAAAATAAAGCACTGCAAAATAACTTTCAATAACAAATTGTTTTGCTACACACTAATACATTTTTCCTCCAGTGAAAACATAAAAATGTGATAGTCATGTATGCAGAGGAGTAATGAGTAGACTTCACAGTATCAATATTCTGGTCTGGATGCATGAAAATATGGTTAGCCTACAATTAATTGTGGCTGTGCTTTCTATAACGGCTTAACATACTGCTTGTTCTGTTGACAATTGGACACTACTCTCATATGAAAATCACAACATGCTTGCCTTCTTATCTATTGGGTGTGTCTCATGTGCTAACCTGTCGATGAGAAAGAGATGCGACCTCCTGCAACCACACTACGGCCATCCTTAAACCATGTGATGATTGGAGCAGGGCTGCCATCTGCTGCACACTTCAGTTCAGCAAGACCACCAGTCTTCAGTGTCAGGTTCTCTGGGTGCGTAGTGAAACTTGGCACAACTGTCAAAACATCACATTACATATTTCTATATTCCAATTTTCTGCATTACTGGTTACAACAGTGACAACTATCTTGTTTTCTGTTATGAAACATTCAGTTTATTTATTCTCTGCATTTCTTTCCTTAGTGGATCTACTCTGGGCTGAGCACATTAAATGCATGCAGAAGTACCTGTTGTTTATCTGGGATATGCTTGCTCTCCATGTCAATATCAAAATATACAGAAGCTAAAGCTCTAAGGAAGTTCGATCATACACAAGAATCCACCCGAATATTTAAACACTGCTTTAGCAGCACTGTACATATTCAAAAGATTACAGGGTAAATTTCATCACAAATGCATCAAAACACATACAATTTGTTGTCTTCATTGATGTAGATCATAGTTTTCTGGATCTTGCTGACATCTCATTATCTGTTTAAATGTATGTGTTCAGTCTCTAATTATGAGCTGAAGGTTTAACCAGTAAGTCATTTAGCTCCACACCAAACAACTCTCACAGAAGATCTATCAATAATTTATACAAGACATTTCAATATGTAGCTACCAGTTACTAAACTTTGTCTACATGTCTGGCAACAGAGCTAATAATATTTGCACTATTTTAGAAGATGGGCATTTAAATTCCATTGTGAGAACAGCCCTTCAGAGTTTTCTTTGCAGGCATTTAAATTTTTATGCAGGTTCTACCAAAAAAATGTAATATTATCTAAATTAAAAGTGATAAAAGTAATAAATAAATCCTTGACAGTCAAAAGGTTAAATTGTACTTTCCTTTGCAGACTGTGTACAGAAGATGCTACCATTCATATACACCAAGAAGTTATATATTCTGTATTCCTAACATAAACCAGTTAATTTCTTGAACATTCCAGAATTAATAAATAAATCTTACACATGCAAACATAAAGAAAAGCTACCCTGACAATCATAACATTGTGTAGCAGGTCAGCAACTAGGATGCAGTGAATCATGCATTAAACAAAGTCTGCCACAAGACTGCCATTGTGATGTAATGCACGAAGTTCATTTTTTGTAAACGACAGCACATTTAAGATTTAAGGATCTCACAGTGGTGAACACGGAAGAATACTGTCTTCTTTGATGTGAAGCTATTTAGTTTGACAGAAACATGCCAACACTTCAGAAGAATATGATGACTCCATCTTCAGTGTATAGAAAGTGAGTTCTTCTAAACTGAATATGGAGGCAACAGGTTCCACCAAACACTGGTACGTCTCTACGAAACTACACAGTCACTCTTCATTATTACTCAATGACCACAATCCTCCTACAGAGATGTACTACATGTTTTGGCCTATTGTGGCCATCATCAGGTACACAGAGCCTTTACAATCACCCTTTCTTCTATGCAAACATATGGTGTGTCTATGCTAGGACTGTGTTGACTGAGTAATAATAAACATTGTCTTACACACAATATGATGCTACAGTATAATATTTCTAATACACAGACAATCACATCTCAGAAGACAGTGACCTTCATAGCATGCTTCTTCTTGTGACCAATGAACCATGAATCTTTGCAGTTTACAGTCATCACAGCAATGATTACTGAAATTATAGACTTCTGGGATGCAATGCTGAGTAGTTTACTGTAGATACCAAGATTCTGGAGACACCTGCTGCTTCCATCTTTAGGCAGTACATTCCTCTGAAATGGTGATACTTACACACAGCATCACATCCCAGAAGAATGCAGTAGGTTAGTCTACACAGCAATACGGGTACATCCACTACAATATGAAGTGAACAGCATGCTGGCAGTTACCTTTTGACAGTGACTCAGATTCTGTGCCAGCAAGTAGAAGAAATAAGAAATTATTAGTTAGGAATGTGATCAGTCTGTACAGGAGGTGATTGACTTTGCTACAGCAAGTGCAAATTTGTGTAATACATGAATCATATTATGCCCATTTATATAAGTGAAAATAAAGGTGTTGAATCCAGTATTCCTGAGCCTATCAAATCCTGTTTTCTACATGACTGGACCATAACTGTAGTCAAGAGAGCTCAGTCAGGCAATGATCTGGGCAACTGGGTAATCAGAGTTCAATTTCTGACATAGGCAAAAATTTCTCTCTTGTCTACAATGCCCAGACCAGCCCTTGAGCCTCCTATGAAACGGGTTCCTGGAGTGTCTTCTCTAGTGTTAAAGTGGCCAGGGCATAAAGCTTACAACTCACCTCCCTCTAATGCTGAGATTTAGAATGTATGGAGTTGTACCTCCCTTCCAACATACACATACATCATCATGGAGTGGTTCTTCATTATGCATAAGAACAACTTTACACAACAACTGCCTAATCTTCTTCATATGTATTTCTGTTTCTTGTACACTCCAAGGCGTTTGGTGGTTGCCTCTTTATCCAATAACCACCTCAATGCCTGTTTCATTTTCAAGTATTGCATAGAACCATCACAAACAGGGCTCTGATAATAGTAAAAAGAGTGTGCTTGGAAACTGTTAGCTTACCATTCACTTTAACATAAGCCACAGATGTTATTCGGCCCACAAAGTTGGCTGCAGAACATTTGTATGATCCAGCATCCTCCCTCTGAACATTGGAAATTGTGAGGGTGTTGTCACTTGAGATCTGCACACCAGAAAGTAATCAATAAATAACTCTGTATATGCTTCAGATTTGAAGTTCTGTGGCCCCTCAGCATTAAGACTATAGTCTTCCTGGATGCAGTGCCATGCAGTCTGGCAGACACATATAAAAGGCAGAGGCATCAGAGTCCTCCAAAACACTGAAGCCTATCTACCAGACTACATGGCATAACATCTCAAAAGACTATCTATTTCATATATGGGATTCTCCCATTTTAAAATGAGACAGGTTACTATTCTGTCCACTTGGCTTACTTTATAAGGCAATGTAGTCCTATACTTCCATTATATCTGTGTGTAAATTCTGAATTTATTGTGGTGATTACATATAATTATGTCTTTTCAAGTTATCAGCCATTTTTAAATTGGAAGTAACTGTGACATTTTAGAGAATGCTTCTGCCTTCAAGCAGACTGGGAAGACTTAGAGTGTGTTATAGTAAATTGTAAAGTGTATAAATCTGTAAGGCTGTTAATAGTTACTACTGGTTACATGTAGTAAGAGTTTAATAAATACAATTACCAATGAAAACACTGTGTTTAGCCATTAAATGCATAACAACTGGTGTCAGAAGTGGGATAAAAGGGTTGCATTGGTTGAACTATTTTATTGGAGACCACAGAAGATTGTTATATCATCATACTACAAAAATGGAATAAATAATGGGACGCCTTCTGGCTGAAATAAAAGCTTATCAAGGAACGATGAAAGCCCTGATGGATTTCAACCAAGAAAAGATGAAGACCTGCTGAAAAGTGATGAAGGCCTGGTTAGATAGCATAGAGGTATATCTGAAAAGTCAGATGCCAGTCAGGAGAAGATAGAGGATGTAGTGGAAGGCTATGGAGAGGCACCACGAGTAAAGAACATCCACATGCTTACCACTCTACAGGATCAGGCTTCTGATTATATACATGATGTCTCTAAAGGAGCAACATACACGGAGACTATTGGGGCAACTGAGGGTCAATTTGGAGACCAGCCCTGGCCATAGGTTCCAGCAATCACCCAATGCAATAGTGAATCCCTAAAGGAGTTTGCCACTGCCATCAAACAGTTGACTCACCATGCCTTTCCTGTATGACATGAGATCTACAGCCATTGGGGAATGGGCAAGGCATGGCAATGGCATGAGAGACTGAGGCATAAAACAGTGGCTATTTCTGGGAGGCAAGAGGACACTCACTGAGGCCCTCAGGCAGACCCTAGGGCTGAAAGTCATAAAGATGGCAGTCAGGTCTTCCATTGGGCTCCAGAAAACAAATGACAGAGCATTGTGCAAGGGCTGGTCCCTTCCCAAATGAAAGAAGAAATGGCAGTATGTCTATAGACTACTTGGAACAAGCATAACTACATAATCATTATGTGTTGCATGGCAATGGCTTGTGTGACTTTGTGTACGTCTTTGGTGACTATTTCCACATCTTGGGTCTGTTGCCTGTATGGATGTTTATGGAAAGTGGAGGATGTGTATGTATATGACAAGTCCTGTATCAATGTATTTTGATTTATGGGAAAATGAAATAAAGAAAGAAAGAAGGAAAGATAGTTGGTCATAAATGTGTAAATTTGTAATGCATTTAATTCAGTTAATTTGGGTAATTTAAGTAAAATTATATTAATTTTAAGTTTTTATAGTAGTTTTCTTTTTAAATTATGTTTATTAATTATAATTGTAATAATTTTTTTTGGTTCTATTATCTATGTTGGTTGACTAGTGTGTGTGATTTTGGTTGTGTGACTTACATAATTTATTATATGTATACATCTATTATCAAAGGGACTATTTCCACATCCTAGGTTTTTTGCCTGTATGGATATATGGAAAATAAAGGAAATGAATGAATGAATGAATGAATGAATGGCTGGGTGAACATGTAACAAAGCCCAGCCCATTGCTAGCCAACAGCCACTACAAAAATTAGTGACACTGTTAGAAACAATGTTCTTTGTAGGGTACATGCCAAAGTTATATAAGACCTCCAAATTTGGCAGTAAACCACCAGTCATAAAGTAATTCTGACTATGACTATGACTCTGAACACTTGCAGGTGAAGTGAAAAAGGATGCACAGAGTCCATAGTGACTTAGACACCAAGACACTGTAGATATACTCATGCTGAAACTACAGTGCAACAAACATAGTGCCCACACAGAAAGACTGATCCCTCCTTAATCAAAGAGAAGCCCCCATTTTGAAACACATACATATCTAGGAGAGAATAAAAAATTTTTTCTTGGATATTGAAGACTGAAGCCAGGAATGCATGTGCTGGTGAGGACCAGCAACCAACCAAATGACCAAACAGATGCATTGGAGAACAGATTTTGAGTTGCCATCATGGGTTAGGTGCAAGACAGTCACCAGCCAGTAACGACATGAGCACAGAAGCAGAGGACATTATGGGTATCTGTTACCAGAAAATGACTGGTGAGGACACAGCAGACTGAGAAGCCAGCCTATGCTATAGTGATTTGTAAAGTATATAAAGCAGTGAGACCATTAGAGTTACTTGTAGTTATGAGTTTATAAGTGTTCAATAAATCCAATTACCAACCCAAACCCCATGTCTAGTCACTAAACATGTATTAATTCTTAAAGTGTTCATTACCACAGCATAAACTGATGTCTCCTTACGACTTCAGCCTCACAGTACGGCAGTCACAAAGTATGAGTTCTCTGATATTTCCATGTTCCCACAGCACTTTCATGTCTCCCCTTGCATGCCAACTTTAATGGTGTGTATGCACAATGGCTTGTGGGTAACCCAACACTCACCAGTGTCCATGACAATGCGGGACTCATCAACAGTCACAACAATTCATAAAGAGGTATTCCAGCTTTGCAATATTGCAACCCTTGCATAGCTGAACTGCAGATACATATTGCCTGTAGAAGTTCAGAAGCTGAGAGATGCTGCAATGGAAGATCATACTGACCTGTAGTCTGTCCCCTGGCACAATGGGAATGTCATCATGGGACCAGGTGATGTCTGGGTGTGGCTGCCCCAGTGCTGCACAGTACAGTCTGACAGTTGAGCCCTGTTCCACTTCCTGGTCTAGTGGGGTTCGACGAAAGTGTGGCTTTTCTATGAACAAAAAGCACAGTGAAATATGGATATGTGTTGTCAGACCCCATAGCAGAAACCAAGCATAATCAAAGGGAACTGCAGTGAATCCCCACTTAAGGGGGCATGGAATCATGGAAATTGAAGGTTAAATAAGGGAAACTGTAATCTGAGGATTAAATGGGGCTTCCAGTTTTTAATTCCATGCAGCTTTAAGTTAAGGCAAAACATAATGCAACTCATGTTATTCTAGAGCAGTGGAATTAACCACTGTTTATCCAGAGTCACTGAGGAAAATGTGTAACAAATCAGTTTATTTGAAAGAAAGAGTCAACTTGTATGACCAATGTGTAGATGAAAGGATAATATTAAAATTATTAAAGATCCAGAGTGTGAAAACATGGTAGACATATAACTGGCTCAGACTAAAATCCAATGGAAAGTTCTTGTGAACATGATGAGGAAACTTTGGATTTTATAGGAGACAGGGAATTTCTAGGCAATGTCTTGACATCAGATTCTCACGATGAACCCTGCTCCATGCAGTTCATTAGTTACTTATTTAATAATTTAGCGAGTTAACCATTTCACCCACACATTTTGCAAGCACTGATACACTTATTAGATCAGGTTCTTTACATGAATACTTTACATTTCATGAATGTTCTTGTTATTCTCTCAATTTTGTACTACCTCTTGAGCCTGCACTCATTCAAATGGCACACATATTCAGACATTCCAAAGAGCATACAACATGACTGAATTCAGCTTTGGTATGAATAAAATGCAGAACAAACTGGAAACAAGTATATTCTGATAAAGTTAACATAACTGAACTATAAACTTATGCAAACATCATTTGAGAATTAGTGTCTCATCTTTTTGAAAGAACTACTTGCACAGCACCTAAAGGCAGTAATAAATCACAGTTATGTGGGAGTGGTTGGAAATCCCCTGTTTCGGTGCCATTACCAGCAGAGACACCATTAGGTGGGGAGGGCACAAACTTGGAAGAGCTGAAATGTACAACTCACCTTTGGTTTTCTGGTAGTGCATCTTGGCAGCTCGAGACTTGGCTTCACCTGCAGGGCTCTTTGCCATGCACTCATACACACCAACATCAGAGTCTGCTGTATTCTCAATCATCAAAGTACCATCAGACAGCTTTGAGTAGCGTGGGTCACCCATGTTGATTTCATTGCTGGAGCACAACAATATGCGTTGATACAATATCTCTCATTCTTAACCCTTTCACAGTCAAGCACTTATGTGTCATGGGAGACTGGCTATTTTTTTAAATATATAGAAAATTTACTGTTAAGTCTTTTGAATGTATTTGGTGATACTTCCATACAAGAAGCTCTAACAGAAAACTAAGAGATGACATATTCTTTGAGTTTTTACCCAATGTAGATATAATTGCCAGGAAATGAGATGAAAGTTTTCAAATTTTGTAAGATAAATAAATGAGCTGCGACCTGTCAGGACTGCCTTGTGAAAGCACAGATATCTGCATCATGACCCTGAAAGTGCTAACCAATCAGCTGAACTATATGATCAGTTCTTTAATCTCAAATCGTTTTTGGTGGTCAAAAACTTGTCTGAAGATTACTGTCTTCTGGGATTGACACCATGTAGTTTAGTAGATCACTATCAACGTTATGTAGGCTGTTATTCTCGGTTTTCTAGACCGGAGCCGCTATTTCCTTGAAATAGCTCCTCAATTATCCTCATGAGGCTGAGTGGACCCATCATTTCTAAAAAAAATCTGGTAGCGCCGGGAATCGAACCTGGGACCTCTGGACCTGTAGCCAGGAACTCTGACCACTAGACCACTGAGGCAGTCCAATAGTAAGAGAATTACACAAAATTACAGGCTGTGCTTTCGGACCTGCCCTCTAGGTTGTGCACGAGAAGTGTGTCAAGAAGTATTAGGGAAGTGGTTTCAGCTGCACTGTTAAAATCCTGTTATAACTCTAGGATCCTTATGTCAGTTAATGTATTCGTACTCAGCCAAATCTCCTGCACATTCTGGTAAGAACGGCAGGTCTGACAACACAGACAGTGTTGATAGTGCTGCATGTTACACTGGGTTTCTGGACTTTGTCCACTTCCTGGTATTTCAAATATAACACAACGTTTCAGAAGCTGGATCCATTTATGTCCTCAGGTAAAAAAACATGAGGAGCATCTATTTGGTTCTTCACCTGAGGATGGATACATACCCATTTTCTGAAATTTGTGTTCAGTCTGGACAAAGTCGAAGAACCAAGTAATACTAAGTAACATTGCAAAATTCTGCACTGTTATTTATTATAACATCAAAATGTTCAACCCAAAATGCATCTCAGCACCTGTCTCTCATCCACACAATATCTGGAACTGGGTCACCTTCAGCCTTACATGTGAAGAAGACAGTTCCACCAAACGTCACCTCCACATCATGGGGGTCTTCTGTAATCTTTGGCTTTTCTGTAAAGATAATATTAGACAAAATGCAAGTACATACTTGATTCTGTAGAATATATTATTACTGCTGCATCTATTATACACATATAAAGTCAATAAATCCATCTGTGTTTGTCACTCTATGTGTGTCTCACTGTGAGTGCGTGCATTCATGTGACAGTGACCTGTAAGGTGTAGTCACAAGCTGTATCAAAGAGTTCAGCTCTTGTCATCAATCCAAATCTCATGTACAGTCATTCATACATGCGACAACATAAACTTTATTTAAAATGAAGAAGTATTATATGTTCACAGTTCATGGTAAGATGTAAGTTCTGAAAGAGTCCCCTGTTATACTGCATCTTTGATCATGTCCCCCAGTATGATTACATGTCTCAGAAATGTTTTAATTTTGGTACAAGAATATATTGCAGCATCCCTTACCATAGTGTGTAGGTACTTGTCCATAGTCTTGTGTGAACAGGCTTTATATTTCTGGCTTCTGTAACCTTGGGATTATTTTGCTCAAACAGCAAAATTTAATGGACACCCTTCTTACCTGCATAACTACAGATAGTCAATGATCCCACTGAGCTGTTGGAGAGGGTAAATCCCAGAAACTACTACACTGCCCTAAATGCTGCATACATAATAGCAGGGATTTATAACTCAAATAAATGTCAATTAAAGTTATGATGTTGTTACTGAAGCTGCCCCCCTCTCCCACATGTGCTTTATATAGAGGATTTGTAGGGTGTCTCATGTCTCCTCTTATGGGGTTTCACCTGCCCCACACTGTCAAGCCACTGACAACATAATTATACAGAACACAAGATACTGCATGCAAGCTGCAAGGACAGGATACCTACTGCAGTGGAAATCTGTTTCTGTCATAGCAGTGAGGGACTTCCCCTGCATGGTGACAGGATACTGGCAGGTGGCTGCAGCGTGTGTGCCTCGGAGCTTGTCTTGCAGCATCTGCACCAACCACATCATCTCACAGTCACAGACCAGAGCATTGCTGTCTAGTCTCCTGCAAGCAACAGACAGTAAGCATGTGAAAAATAGAATGCCCATCACCATCATCTTCTAACAGGCAAGGAGAACCACTTGTTGGCCCATTCTGGCCTCATCTGTCCATTTGTCCCTTCAAGTCCACATCTTTTAAAAGTTTCAGTAGTCTGGTATCTTCACAATCTGTTGATATGTTGGACACAACTCATCTTAATTTTTTCAGTGCTTACTCATTTCTTTCCCACTTATATCAGAAATAAAGATACACAAGGTTCAGGAATAAAATATACCTCATCTGACTCCAAAACTGTGAAAATGGAAGCATTTAGTGATGCTGATTATGCAGGGGATGTAAAGGATAGGAAGAGTGTGACGGGATATGTAATTATGATGTCAGGACGCCCAATATCATGGTGCTCTAGGAAACAGAGTATTGTTGCATTATCAACCACTGAGGCCGAATATATTGCAGCAGCTGAGTGCTGTAAAGAATTGAAATATCTAAAGACGTTGATAGAGGAGTTGACAGGAAAAAGGATGGAAGCTGAACTGTGTGCTGACAATCAGAGTGCAATCAAGCTAATAGAATCAGGACAGGTAAGCCATAGGAGTAAGCACATAGACGTTAGGTATCACTACATAAGTGAACAATTGAAAGAGAAACTGTTCTCAATCAAATATTGTAACACTGAAACTCAGGTGCAGACATTTTAACAAAACCGCTATCACAAGAGAAATTATACTTAAGAAGAAATAAGTCTGATTGTGATAGACTGAGAAATTTTCAATTACATGTACTAATTTTGTAATCTGAAGACCAAAATTACTAAGTGTTATTCAATTTAACTTTGTAAAACAGCTAATAATGTTGACAAGATTTTGAAATTAAGGAGGAAAATGAGAAATGTGTTTGTAACATTTTGAAATGAAGGAGGAATGTTGAGAATCTAGTAATGTAAAAATGTTCAAGTTGGTAACAGTGATCTATATTCATTTGTTTTTGTTTTGTATTATAATAAAAGTTCTTCTCATCCAATATGGCTCTTAAGCGATACATAAGCACAACACAAAGAAAATAAACATACAGAACAACTGCTCTGGGAAGGCAAATATGATATGTAGAGAACAGTTAGGGTAGTGAGTGGAGGAGACAAAGCTTCACCAGAGCTAGTGCTGTTCAACAGCAGCATGTGGTGGCAGTACTGAACACATACATTGTCTTTCTGCACATCACATTGTCAACCACCTTCCCATAGCAGCCATACTGTATACATTCACTCCCTTTCTTCTGTGGTACAACAAGTGTCATAGGATCCTTACTGGGTTTGGTGGCTTGAAAAACCCACTCTAATACAAACAACAGAAAATGAAATACTGTTTACCAGTACATGCAACTAAAATGCCTTACAGTAGTTCTAACTGGAATCTACTCCATATCCAGATTCTTAAGAAATTCAATCCAATTCAATGTAAAATCCAAAACAACAGGAAACACTAGACATACACGATAAATTGAGAACAGGAAAATAAAGAAGGGCTTATGAGTTCACCTTGTTGACTGCGTGTGTACTTTTCCCCACTCTCCCCAAAAATCTGTTGGTTTTCTATGAGGTCTATGTTGTATCAAAAGAAATCAGGTGATTGTTTTTTCTTTCTCTTTTTACTTCTCATGTGATTCCACCCTTCACAATCCAGCTGCCTGAATTAAAATGAGGCTGTCATTTCAGAATAAGTACGTACATTAGAAGATATATATTCACAGGAACGTTTGCTCTATTTTCAGCCACCCAAAATGCACCAAAACTTACAGGCGCTTCAAGGATTCCAAGTTCTTGAAAGCTCCTACTGGAATGCGTTGAAGTTTATTATTATGAAGAAATCTGAAACAGAAAGAGGATAACTATTTATGTGATCTGAATTCTGTGTCTGCAGACTACAATTCTGATCTTAATGAATTCTTGTGGACAATACAGACACATGTAACAATGCACTAACCTAACCTTTCATCCTCACACTTCTCTGACACTGACATACATTCAGGCCAGATTCTTTTTGTCATTATTTCAAATTTTACTATTTTTTTGTAATTCTCGCAACTTTGCCTGCAGAAAAGGTTTACCACCTGTTTCAGTTGCATTCTTTTAATTAACAATTCAAATTTTCAACAAACACATAACACGAGTGTATTCAATTTGCAAACAAAAGTAACAGACTGGAAATGAGTATGTTCAGAGTTGGCCTAGAAGACACGCCATACAGATATGACTACGTTCAGGGCTCATGTTAAAATGGTTAATAATATACATCTGTATGTATATTGTATGTCATCTTTCATCCTTTGTACTGTCTACAGAAATGTCTCCTCATTTTCATTGCTTATATTTATTCACTGAATATAAGAATAAATTCTGGGCCAGGAATAACTGGTGAAGAAAAACACTCCCATCATTTCACTTCAATAAACAATATAACATTTTCTGAAAGTCAAGGAATAAGGCACAGAAAAATATTTATTTAATTTATGATGGCATAAGCGTTATGCCCAATGAATTGTTCAGCTTCCTAATCATGATTAAAACCTATGTAAAATTATGCTACCACAATAGAGAGCAATTTCTTACTTTATAAGAGTCCATAATGTATACAAAGAGTGTTCTAAGACTCCAGTCAGAGCTTCATGATCTCATTCCTGAGTTCATTCCCTGTCAGGAATATCATATGAACATGGGACTGATTATCAATGATTACCAAGCTATGGGTGTGTGAAACTTAAAATAATCTACACATATTTACACTGTACTCATGAACTATGTTCTTACACTGTATAGTTCATATTACAAATGTTTTAATGGCCACTTGCATGTGCTCTCTAACTCACTTTCATGTTGAAAGTGTACTCCTACCAAGAACTGTACAAGAACTGTACAGACATTTATCCTGCATCTTGTACTATCTAAAATTTGACATAGTTCATCTCTTGCACTGGCTTTGACTTTACACACCCTTTCATTCAACCCCAAACGCAGAAATGTGTGGGGCTGAGGTCCAGAGTCCTTGGTGGAACACAGAGCTATGGGTATCTAAAAGTCTGTTTTGGTGAACATGCACAAGAAGGCCCAGACATGTTCAAAAGCTGAGTTTTATGTGAATCGTTCTTTGACTTCAATGATCCACAGATATGCAAGCACTAATAGTCAGATCAATGTTTAAGTGACATTTCTGCCTCGGAATGACCTCAAGAATAAGCTTGTTATGTAATGATAAAAAGAAATGAAACATCTGCATATGTGACAGTGCAAGTGTTGGTGTATACATTTTAGTGTGTTTTAGTATGTACATGTTAGCACGTGTTACTGTGGGTGTATATGTGTGTGTTAAGTATGTTAGTGTGTGCATGCTACTATGTTTGTGTGTGTGTGTGTGTGTGTGTGTGAGTGAGAGAGAGAGAGAGATAGAATGGAACTATTCTCTGAACCTCCATTATGTAACTGTGAAGCATGAAGCTAGCTGAACAGTGAAATCAGTTGTAGAGAGAGAACATCACTGAATTTTCATTACAGATATATGAATTTCATAAATGAACTCCTCTGTGTAAACATCAGTAAAAGGTGAGCATTATATTTATTTCTGGTGATACACACAAACTTGAAACAACAGTTTATATTCTGCAACCTCTGACATGATCTAATTACAGAAACTTTTGCTTTTTTATTCAAACTGTTTCTAGAGAATCAATAAGATGTAGTTTGTGTACTTTGATTTATGTTGTGCCTGTATTCAAAAGTAATTGTTCTTTCTGTTTAACCATTTAAGCAGACTGGTTACTATATACATACCGTCTGCTTCAACATCATAAGAGTCTGCATTTTACTCGGAGTGCAAGTATGTGTTTTATAATTTTCTCAGAATGAACATAAATTACATCCCTAAATAGTTTTAACTGGCGGGGTGTTGTAATGGAGACATCATGCATCTATTGTGAGACTGAAACTGAATTCTTAAATGTTATTTACATAACTTTCATGCTTCAAAAGTAAAAACATCCCTGTTGTAAGAGTTACTGGCAGCTGTGCATCAATATTTTGACTTTATGTAGTCTCACACCTTATTACACTGCATTTTCATTAACTTACCAAGATTTAAATTTGATACCTGTTCCATAATGTTCCAGACATACTTAAAATATATCAGTATTTCCTAATTGTTGTAGTACCCATGCAGTATAGCTACACACAAAAATGGGAATTATGCATGCAAGCATGCATAATCGTCACAAAATAAAATCATTAACTAAAAACAAACAAGAATACAGCTAAATAAAAAACTGTGTGTGAGAAAGAGATAGACCAAACACCGAAGTTAGATAGGAGCACTAATTACAACAATAAAAACTAAAATTAATAAATGCATTTCCCTCCCACCCCACTGAACGAAATTTACAACAAAAGCATTCAGAGGTACAAATGTATCTATTCTGTTTGCAATGCAACCTGCTCTCCTTCATCAGAGTATGATGTGACACCATTTCATCCCAAGCTTTGGACCTCTCTTCATTGGCGAGGGAACTGTGGATTTTGGCACCTCCCCTCCCTTTCCTTGTGTAATGTCAGGGATGACAGCATTTTTGTTAGCAGACAGACATTGTGTGACTATAGATCTTATTGGAAGAGACTAGTTTTTCACCACAAGTAGCTAACCAAAAACGTATATTTGTTTTATTAATCAGTCTAATCACCTGTTCCTCAAAATGAAACCATTCACAAATTCCTAAGACTTTAACACATTTCATAATGTGCTTAGCCATTCTTCTGTCTCTGTGAGCTGGTTTTCTTGAAGATGTTGGTGATTTACTACTCTGTCCAAAAAGTATCCGACCTTGGGCCGGGGAAAAAAAAAGTTCTGTGTCTGGGTGGTTACAATACCTAATCACCTTCAAAGTAGGCCCCTTGTGACTCCACATACTTAGCCCAGTGATCCTCCCAACGCTGGAAGAAATTCTGGAATGCTTCATTTGGAATGGCGTGCAGCTGTGCTGTCGCGTTCTGGATGATGTCCTTGCGGCTGTCAAAATGGCAGCCTTTTAGCAGTGCCTTCAATCTGGGGAGCAGCCAGAAATCACAAGGAGCCATGTCAGGAGAGTAGGGAGCCTGGCGAACCTGTGGAATGTCGTGCTTGGCCAGGAAACCTTGGATCAGGTGTGATGAATGAGCTGGGGCTTTGTCATGATGCAGCTGCCAGTTGCGAGAGTCTCACAGCTCCAGTCTCTTACGCCAAACTGCATCATGAAGATGGCGGAGGACTTCTTGGTAGTACTCCTTATTGACAGTCTGGCCTAGTGGTGCATACTCATGATGCACAACACCCTGGTAATCGAAAAAAACAGTCAGTATCACCTTCACATTGCTCCGAACCTGTCGTGCTCTTTTGAGCCTCTGGGATGTTGGATGCTTCCATTGTGATGCCTAGACCTTGGTTTCCGGGTCATATCCATACACCCACAACTCATCACAAGTGATCACAGTCTTCAGGAACTCAGGATCCCTGTTGGCGCACTCCAGCATGTCCTGCGCGACCTCAAGATGGAGTTGTTGCTGCTCCAGTGAAAGCAGCTTGGGCACAAATTTTGCCACCACTCTTAGCATGCCCAAATCCTCAGTTAAAATTGTGTTTGCAGAACCTCTGCTGATCCCAACCTCATTAGCAACTTCACGGATGGCCAAACGATGGTCCTCCATGATCAGTGTCCGCACTATTTCAATGACATCAGCATTGATGGTCTCCCAGAACGCTGCTCACTGTCCGCTGACATACAGCCATGTTTAAAGCAGTTGAATGAATTGTTTCCACTTGGGTATCCCCAAGTTTCTGAAAAAACTTCATGCAGTATCGCTGCTCCAAGCATTCTGTCATCTTGAGCAAAATGAGAATGCGACGAACACGTGTTACACCACTTCGCTATCTGGCAGCCACAGACGCACCCGGCAGTGTTGCAAGTCAGAAAAAAATCACGCATGCGCATGAAAGACCCTTCTACCACTATGCTCAGTTTTCCTTCCCCTTTGGCCATTACTTACGGAAAAAAAATAAAGTCGGATACTTTTTGGACATATGGTATAAGGAATTCTGAATAAACAAAACTGTTAACCGAACCAATGAGATGATTATATAGCAATGTATATACGATTATATCATTAGATATTATTTATTTATTCCTTTATTTACTTATGGTCTATTTAACAATTCTTTCAACAGCACAGACTATATACCATCAAGCAGTGGAATGACAGTGGATAATAAATTGTAAAGTATGTGGAAGGAAGCAACCATGCCCTAATTTGAAGTACTATCCTACCATATGTCTCTAGGGACTGAGGAAAACCATGAAAATTTTCAGTCAGAATAACTGACAACCAGCTAGAAATCTTAACCTGAGACCTCCCAGACATGAAGCAGGACTGATACTCATACTCTTTCAATTGTGACAATCAAGGGATATTTCTAATTATGCTTCGTTATGTGGTTTCATATAATTTCTAAAAACGTTTAATGTTTCCTGTATTGGAAAATGGCTCAAGAAAAATCTGCAAACACAAATTCAACAAAACATCCTAAAAATTACCTTTACACTATGCATACATTTCTTAATTTGTATACTGAACACCCAACAACAATCTTCCAAACACATGCAATGGTTGCCAAAGTCTCTCATTCTCGACAGTAATTAAATGAAGCTCCCTCACACCTAAATTTACAGGTCTACACATACATAAAAATATGCCGTTATTTGATTAAAAATATACCTAACAACGCTGTCAAAACCTCTTATTCAAAATCATGACGGGTAATTCTATACAGAAACAAACGTTTCAATTGTTTCAGCAAAAGAATGTCATTAAAAACAAAAAACAAAACTTGTTCATTTATAGGTTTCATGAGTATATCCCTGGTGCATTTTTCGTGCAAAAAGCTGACAAACACATTTAAAATACCAGTACTTTCGTTTAAAAGTGTCTTTGACCAACATCATCAGTCTTTTTCTCTATATATGCCAGCATCAAAGTCAGTATCTATGAACTGAAAGTCTACAGGAAATAACAAAGTAAACATGCCAGAATAGGACACTATGCACACACTTCCCAACTTTTAAACTTATGTCTTTACCATGAGCCTATTTTCCTTAAACAAGTGCCACAGCTAAAACGGACTCAAAATTTATTGAATCTCCATGTCAACTAACACAAAAGTGCCCAATTTGTGTTACATATATTTTCCTGCTGAACAAAGGCCTTTCACATGTATTTCTCTTCTGAAGAATAAGTAACAAGTCAGGAAATATGCAGAAATCAGCAATTCTGGTGCATTTGCTCACTTTTGCTTTATTACCTCAAAAACTGTAAGACTTGTAGACAAATTACAAAGACAAAACAACTCCATCCAGTGTGACTATTGAAGTTTTTACTACTTGAAAACTTAACACCCTTACATGTTTCAGTCCCTATAGACCATCATCAGGGGACATTAATACTTTTTGGAAACTACTATCACAATGGGTGTTTTGAGTGTTAAAATACATATACGTACAATGTTTGTAATGCACAATATATATAAAATCCAACTCTTCCACAACACACAACAGCAGCTTTCTTGGTATATTAACCTTCATGTGCCGAAGTGCCCCGTTCGGGCCAGAGATGATCATGGTCGTCGTGGCCAAAGTAGCCCGTTTTGGCCAGTCAGGCATTTAAACTCTGCTAGTGGAAGCATGCCCACACGCCGCTAGTAGAAGCGCACTCACAGTCCTAAATATTTATTTTTAAATGCAGTAATTACCAGACAGACTTGAGTAAAACCCTAATAGATGAATTAAAATGATACCTAAGTGAACAACAACAAAAAAGAGTATACATATGAGTTATGCCCAAGCTCATCCATGAGCCAGTACTTCTATTGCAGACTGAGCAGATTAATGTTTTAAAAACATATAGTAAAATTCGATGTACATACCTTATTTGTTGTGGTCTGCTTTATGTATATATAGGCTGAAATGAAACTACAATATTCGATTTCACTGTGAATGCACAGAAAACAGATCACACTCTGTATCTCAGCCACGATGCAATTGTCTCTTCACGCCCACAGAAAGGGCATTAAGCTTTTGCAGCTATAATGGAAGGTCTTAGCACTGAAGAAGGGACCCCTCTAGCTTTCTCTGGAATAGCCATTCTTTCATTCTTCTGGCCTTTAGTCAAAAGATTTGAAAATCCGAAGAGTGTAAGCAGTGCTAGCCGAAGACCAAATGATTTTATTGCTTCCATCTGTTTACGACACCAGGGACTGCTAAAATTTGTCAAGTGTTACAAACAGAAATAAATTTATAATGCAGAACAACTCTGTGAAGAAATGGGTAAGCATTTTTGCAGTACACATCAAAATTAAAAGAAAAAAGAAATTGAAAATAGAGTATAACTCTTTGTAAAAAAAATTTCAAATCTTCCATTACAATATGTGACACTATGTTCTTTGCTGATACAAAGTTAATTCCATCCATTTATCATAAAAATTGAGTTAGACGCAGCATTTTTAAACACAATGCTTAAAATTGTTTAAGCGCCTTAACAGGAACGGACATTTAAATGCAGAGTAGCAACAGGCATTTAAATGCACACCAGCAGTGGGTGTTTAAATAAACTCTGGCCAGCTCAAGCTTACCACCATTTCAGAAGTCCGGCGTTGAAAGGTTAAAGTTTTTAAAGTTTTTAAAACTTTGTTATTTAAGTTAAAATTTATAAACCAAGTAGGTTCGTGTCCCTTCTCCTATCATCTTTCTTGATGGGGGCTGAACTTGTGCCGCCTGTCTATCTTGAGAAGGAGATTCTTGGTATCATCCTGTGTTTGTTGGTGGTGTGCTGTGTTGTTTAGCAGAATAAAAACATATAATATACCAAGAAAGCTGCTGTAGTTGTGGAAAAGTTGGATTTTTTATATATTGTGCATTACAAACATTGTATGTATATGTATTTTAACATTCAAAAAACCCATTGTGATAGTAGTTTCCAAAAAGTATCAATGTCCTTCTGATGATGGTCTATAGGGACCGAAACATGTAAGGGTGTTAAGTTTTCAAGTAGTAAAAACTTCAATAGTCACACTGGATGGAGTTGTTTTGTCTTTGTAATTTGTTAGTGTGATGGACCAGAATGAAACAAATCAAAAAACTTGTAGACAAGGTACACTGTACATGAAATTTGTGTTTTTAATTTCTGCTATAGCTTTACTTTGGAATATTTATTGCTCCAAAAAATACATAGTACATATATAGTGACTAATGCAGGGTAACATAAGCAGAAATACACCGTATGCATTCATGAATGATGTCCATTATTATTGTCCGGTTTTAACTATAACTGGAATGGAATGACAAATTTTAGTGTCACCCAAAAATATAAAATTACATCAATATCTCTTCGGCTATTCTCAAGTTTTTACTTGTGGACAGATTTGTTGAAGGTAACAGGTTCATTCTTACAGTTCCTCAATGAGAAATGTGCCAGAAACTGAAGCGCTGTGGGGAGACAATGAGGGCACCAATACCTTCTTTATTCTGCTGAATAATATACACCAGAGCCTTCTACATTTACTTTATACATTTTGCTTTCATTCAGTACCTTTGTTTACAAAAGCATTGCACTGAATATTTTATTTAATTCTGTGATGGTTCCAGAAATAAACAAAAATATAATTACATTAGCGTGTAAGTGCTGTGCTGACTTCATTATGAGAAATTCAATCCTGTTGGGGAACACTTTAACTATTTATTCAAACTCCATGGACAAAGCAAATAAACTGACCTGTTCCTCTCTCTTGTAAGTAATTAAATTTGCATATTTTATTTCTGTCTTGTCTGCAAGTCCACTTGTACAAAGGGAGCTGCAGTCAGTTCATAGTGTTTTAATTAAATTTATTTTAGAATGACAAGCAACACAGTATTAAGTCTTTTTGGGCCCTAGATTCTAATTACTCGTCTGAAATATTGGTAACAGCCGCAGTCTTCATTGTTTACATGAAGACTGTAGACACTGAAATGTAACACAAGCAACTGACTACATAGAGAAACTTATTGGAAATACAAAAATGAACATAAGGCTGGGAGAAGTAAACAGTGTAGCAAGGTTGTTGCTCTAACACTTCTAATGTGTTACCTAGCATTATATGATTTCTCAACAGACTGTCAAATCAATCTGTTAACATAAACATATTTTAAATAAAAAAAATACTAAGTGTCTTCTTATTAAATAAACATGTCATTTCAAAATACCGACAAAGTTGAGGAGCAAGAAAGGTTCTGGAAAAAGAGACAGTAAGGTTTTGTAGCTGGATGATCCACATGGATATGTCTGAGGAGGTGGAAAGGAAACCATGTTTCCCTATTAATCAGCACAGAGACTGATGAACACAAAGACAAATCAGGAGCAAATAATCAATGCAAATAAGTCAGTTTCAAATTCCAAGTTAAATATCTGAATTATAAAAAATTACACCAGGAATTATGCATGCCATTATCACCAGGAAATTAGCATGCCACGATCACGGCAATATTGGCAAACATGTAATATTCAGAACTAAATCTTTGCATTCTCAATTTTAAAAATGAATGATGTAAACAAAAGTAATTTCAATGATTAATGGATGAAAAAGTAGTAATTATGAATGCAACGAAATGGACAAACTGTTACGTGTGTAAAAGTGGAGCGAACACACTTGGGCAACATGGGGCATCTCTATACTCAGATCTAGAAATACCATCACAGAACCGAAATCAATTTCCTGCAAGGACACAGAGCATCAGATGGTGCATGCAACAGGATCTCTGGTGGTACCACGTGCAGACCGACACAACAGAACTAAACTGGCAACCCAAACCCAGCCAACAATCCTTTACTTACAGTCGTTCGAGATTCCTTAATTCGCTAAACACCCCTGGGCCTAACTTTTCAATCCTGTTGAAATGCAGGTATCTGGTGGAGCATACAAACAGTGACATTAATACGGGATTAGCTATCTCTGCCTCACACATCATTATTAGTACCAGTATGTACAAAAAGCCACGCTACATCAGTCAGTCAGTGTTTCAACGTAAACCCTGCAGACAGTACCTGCAATATACCACTTTCAGTTTAAATTGTGGGTAAAGGTTTCAGCAGACAGAGTCAGATGAAGTGCAACTGAAACCTGGCTTAAGTGTACACTCAGCAGATGGAAGGTAATATGTTTTGATTTTCATCAGAATTCCAGAAAAGCATACTGTCTGAAATTAGTATACATAAATCTTTGTCCCAATGCAAATTAATATTGTATAACATACAGCATAAACATTTTTAAATTCTACTGTGATGTGTAAGAAAAAGAGATGAATGCAAGCTGAACAGGGCTTATAAAAACAGATTACTTATGAAGTATATGGTTCTGATAAATGCATGATACAATTGGAAATAAATTTTCAGATCATTTTCTTTCTGGGAGAAAAGATGAAGTAGCTTGTCAACTTTAAGGATTCTAACAATGATACATTACACGTAGGGTTACTGGGTTTCTGAACTTTTCCATCCTCTGGTATTCTAAACAGAATATATTTCAAAACTTGTCCCATTTCAGCAATGACATGCCAAAAAAGGGAAGGCATGTAACCAGCTGCATCTCTTACAAAGAGTTTAAGTTTGATCAATGGTCTTGTCACTGAGATTAGCTCCTTACAATAGACACATCTGAGTATGTGCCTTGCCATCTCTTCATTTGAGGATGGATACAGGTCCAATTTCTGAAACGTTGTTCTGTTCAGGATATGCAGCAAGGGACAAAAGTCTGTAAGCCCAAAAATTCTAAGAGACATATGAAGAGAACTTGCCCAGTTATTGAATCCCTCTATCTTACTGTCAGTTACTGTTCCATCAATACCCCATACTCAGCCAACACCATGGGCTCCTACAATTGGCCCATCTTAGGCAACAGTACTAAGGGACTCAGTTGGCCGCACCATAACTCAAGTGGTAAGTCACTGGCTTCCCACCGTTGCAGCCCAGGTTTGATCCCGGGTCAGGTCAAGTGGAATTTGTGGTGGACAAAGTGGCGCTGGGGCGGGTTTTCTCAAAGTACTTCGGTTTCCCCTGCCAATATTCATTCCACCAAATTCTCCATCATCATAATCACCTGGGGCAGGTACAATAGGCCAATCAGTAGCCGCCATGCCAAGTGGACCCAGTTGGACTCCACGCCCCCACTAAGTGAATAAAAAAAAAGGCACTCAGTCCCAACCCACTCCTGCAACTACCTCATCAGGGACTGGTACAGTAGGACCATTTGAGGCCGCAGTACCAAGGGACTCAGTCTTACCCCACTTCTACAAATAAGGGAAAACTGATAAAAAATTATGAAACACAACGTTGTCTGAAAGGCATGCTCATTACCAAGCAGCTTCATAACCTCCACATTAATGAATCTGCTTGACATGCCACGGCAAGGACGTGGCTCTAGTAAACACAGACAGAATCAGTGCTGCACTTCTCTGACTCCACTCCCTGTTCAAATGTTTGTAGTTCTGTAGCCACGTCATCTAAGTCTGCCTTACTTACAATCGCTCTAATGAAGGCAAATTAGAAAACGTATCGGGCTGAATATCCACGAGTTCATTAAAGTGCAGGTATCTGTAAAAGAAACAACAGCATTACACTTTACAGCTCACAGCAGGCAGATCTCTTGAATGCAGCCTAGAACAGAAAAGTATGAAATAAATATAACATAAAGAAACAAATTAATTTCTAGAACCCACAAGTCTTCATCGTACAAGAAACAAAAGGCTTAACTCTTTCAAAGCGTGTGTCTTTAAATTGTTTTGGTTCTTTTCAGACTCAATCCAACCAATGAGAAACCACATCAGACCTAGTCCAATATTGAGAAATGATACAAGACTGAGTCCAACACTGCGGAACCATATCTTGATCCAATGTCAGACTGCGTGAAACAACATTAACTTACGGCAAAATAAGATCAGTCTACTGGGATATTATATACCACTATAAACTGGCCTCAGAAAATTAAAGAATCTGGAAAGTAAAAATAGTCATGAATTCTAGTATGAAGGCAATGCCACCTTAAGTTACCGAAAGGCATGTTTTTTCCCTGGTACAGGTAATATGCACTGACTTCTGAATGACTACTTAATTTTTAAAACAAATTTATATTTGAAAAAATGTGAGTTCTCTCACAGATATTTCTAACTACACTAAGCATGTCCAGGGTTATGGTTACAAGTATATTCTTGTATTTTGGAAAACCTTCTTCAGTCTGCATCTCTTGGCTGAAATTTTCATGGTCTTCCTTGCTTCAATGTAAAGTTTGGTTTGATGCTTCAAAATGGGATACTCTTAATTCCTCCTATGTTTTCATCATATTCCATTCATTAACATTTAACGCTCCACTCAGTGCCAGTATGTAAGCACAAGCAGTCCATGCAGACACTTGGGGTTGCACAATTTTGGGGATGGCACATTCTAGAATAAAGCCTTATATTAACAATAACTGTTCATCTGAAAGATACAATGGATGCCACAAAATGTTATTCACTTGTGGCTGCAGAATATCATATATGTGTATTATCCCTGCCTCTATTACTGATATATCATCCATAAACAATTTAAAACTTACTAATTTTCTTGCCACAAGTGAAAATAAATGACAAGATGTATAATTTCTGTTGATTCATGTGTGTCTTCTGTTGCCTACTATGCACTTAATAGAGGAGAGCCAAAAATATGAAATTTACTCATTACTCTTGCTAATGTGTACAGTGTTAAAGCAATATACAAGTACTGTGGTATAGTTTCTTGATGCGATTCAAATCTTTGTTCTCCATCTTCTTGTGATACATGGATAAACTACAGTTTTGTAATTTCAGTGTTACTCTTTCTTCAACATTTTAGCTGTTGTGATATTGCCAATGAAAGCAACTATATCCCAGACATACACACAGACTCTCTCCCCCTTCCCACTGAGTCTCTCAGTGATTTCAAGAAGCTAAGCATTTGTTACTCTGTAAGACATATAAGTATATACGTGAATATATAAAATTAGGAATTTAGATAATGACCATGGAAAATAATACCCTTTCTGCCAATTTTCAAACACAGAATATCAAGTTTCTTTTAAATTTCATGTACAGCTCTTTTTCAATTGAACACCAAGAGAAAGGCAGTTATAAAGTACAATCATTCCATTGAGTTTCTTGTTATAACTATTCTACCAACATATAGAGTATACTTTTCATTCTAAAATGGAAAATATAATTCCTATGAATACTAATTTTAAAGAAATAACTATTGTCTCCAAAATATTCACTGGTTTACTTGAATTTGTCAAAGCAACCTGTCTGTCTGCGTAATTGTTATGTCATAATTACAGGAAGAACACAATTAATTTGATGTCAAGATGCCTGTGGTGGCCTCTTGAATTTAGAAGCTGCAAGCAGCCAAAGAAATTTCATACAGAATAAAAAAAATATATACTTTTCAATAGAATTTGTAAAAGTGTTACAGCAAACCAGCAAGGAATGTACAATTAGAGAAGTGGGAACACAAAGGGATGTCATTAATCTAACTTGGGACAGTGAATCTAACTTCTCTACCAGCATAGTTATGAATTGGAATAGGAACACTGAAAGTCCTAAAACTGTGTATGCAAATAACCCCTTTTGCATGTAAATTGTGATAAGGAAATTATTAAGTTGCCAGCTCTTTATGCAACATCAATATTGCACTGCAAAGCAAATTTATTGACTAGAAATGATACAACCATGTTCTGCTCCCCAAGACAGTGGTTCAAGCAGAATCCCAAACTTATATTACACTTTTACAGCAAATCAGCAACCAAAGTACTGTTTCCTGGTGCCCAGGAAAATCTTTTCAGACTCAATCATAGTGTTGGTATAACATATAGTATAGTATATATATAGTATCACAATTTGCTGTAAAAGGTAAAGTTGTCTCTATGCCTAAGCACACACATTTCAGGTATACACAGGCACAGAGACAGCCCCATACATTCTTAACCTTGGCACTACATGATGGTGACTGGTCACTTTCATGCCCTAGATAATTTACTCCAGGAGAAAGAGCTCACTGGTACCTATTGCATAAGAGGCTGGATGGGCCCCAAACCACTCTGACTATGTAGAAAAGAAAGATATTCTTTCCCTGTGGGGAATTAACTCCAATTATCCAGCAAATACCTGGCCACACATTTAACTAATGTTAAATTCTTTGCTTCTACATGCACAGCTCAGGTGAAGACCGTGTATCTGTGTCACCACTGCCTGGTATTAGTATTCTATCTTTCTGAATGAATTTTGATAAGGAAATGTCTTTAGTGGAGAATAAAATTTAAAGAATACAAAGTTCCAAGTTTCTAGTCCTACAGCTCTACTACTGTCATTTTATTCTACTTAATCATGTGAGAAATTTATTCTGTGACAAATTTATCATACACAACCTCAAAGTTTCATACAATTGCCATGACTTAAGTGTTGACTTCAAATAATATCTCATAAATAATCTGTAGGTATAACTTTATTCATTCTGGTCCATTACGCTAGTTAATTATTATAAAATGATTTGATAACACTGTCCAGTGTGACTTTACACGTTTCAGTCAGTTTTAGATTGAATACAGTGTGTCTTGTTAAAGTTTAAAGATAATTTATTAGCTCTAAACCATCCATTTAAGACTTCAATTGTTATAAGAATATTCCTGTTAAAATCATTTATATTAGAATGCGAAAATAAGATGCTAGTATCATCAGCAAAAATTATAGATATAGAAAATGTATTTAATATTTTAGGAAAGTCATTTATGTACATAAGAGAAACAGCAAAGGCCCTAATACAGACCCTTGCGGCACTCCCTGTCTAACATCAAGCCAATCTGAGGACACTGTATTCACATCACTTTTATGTACGTATTACTGTTCTAATATATCTGTTACTTAAATAAGATTCATAAAGTGCATGATCTTTCCCAATAATACTATAGAATTCAAGTTTGGACAACAAGATATCATTATCTACACAGTCAAAGGCTTTCTCCAGATCACAAAAAACATCTGCCACTAATTGTTTGTGGTTCATAGAATTTAAAAACACTGTAGTCAATTTGTAAATTGCATTATCTGTTTTTAATCCTTTCCTATATCCATATTGTTCAGTACTTGGGATATTATACTTATTAAGATGTTCTAGAGTTCCTGTATATATTATGGTTTCAAATATTTTTGAGAAAGACGTTAAAAGTGATACAGATCTAAAGTTAAGACACATCCCATATATCACCATTCTTATACAAGGGTTTTATTATCGCATATTTTAGTCTATCAGGAAAAACTCCTCCCCTTAACATTTTATTGTATACATAGTTTATAGGTGAAATTATAAAGGGCAATCTTATTTTTAAAATAACGGGTGATATCTCATCATACCCACATGAGTTTTTAAATTTAAGAGATTTTATTATATTTTCTATTTCTTTATTTGTAGAGCATTTACATTAGGGTACAAATTTATAAAAGCTTGATCCATATAATACATATGATTTTCTTTCTTTTTTCAAATCATTCATAGGTATGGAATTCTTGTTGGCTTGTCTTTTTATTTTACTGGCAACATTGGCAAAATATTTATTAAACTCTCCTAAAATATCATGTTTATTAATCAGTACCTTACCATCAATTTTTACTGTTTGTGTTCCTACCAAGAGAAGGTAACAGTCACAGTAATGGCAGGACATAGAAAGAGAGAAAAGCGCTATACTTACAGCTGCTCCAGCTTTGTAAGCCCTTGGAACACCTTGTTCTCCATCTCCCTCATGCGATTCTTGTATAAGTACCTGCCAATGAGGCACAGTGTTAACAAGGACATATTATATATTAGCATTCATAATATGTATATATTAACCATCTTTTAGTGCATACAATTTCACTTGTCACTTCACACTACATGTTTCAGCATCATTCTTCCATCCTCAGGTGTATTAATCATGTTAAACCATTGCACTGCCTGCCATCAAGTGTCCATTTATAAAATGATATAAAATGCGTGTTCGCCGTTGTTCAATAATAATATTTATATATTAAAACTTGTTAAGATCTATCATCTTACATGTCGTATATCAAACTCGTGTGTAATGCCATTCATCCGCTATGGGAGTCCTTCTTATGTTTTAATTGTGTATATACTGTGTCTTATGATATGTCTTTCTTATGTAGCTGAGTGCATTGTAGAATACCCTTCCCATTATAGTCTTGTCTGTTCTCTGTGATTTCCTCTTCTGCAGCTCCTCCTTCGCGTGTCTGCAGCCCCGATAATTGGCAGGATGGGCTTCCTCTCCCTTCGCCAACTGGAAGTTACAGCATGTTAGTATGGAAGCAACATTTTTCTTCTCTGGGAACTCCTTGTGCAGGCGGCTGCCCGCGCACCACAAACAACCGGAAGTTGTTTGCAGTTTGCCCAGATGTGACCCAACTGTTGGCAGTTACAGCACTGTGTAAGACTCTTCTGAGCTAGATACACCTCTACCCTGATTGCAATGTGGTACAGGGCTGTCAAACGGAAGATCTCTTGGGATTCTGACGTTCTGGGCAAGATGATGAGGAATAGGGGAAGGTTTTTGTTTGGTGTTTCCTCGGACGGTGACCGATGGGTAGATGCCATCTGTTTCACACTGATAATGTCAAAGCCTAGAGCTATCAGCCCGTCAGAGGTATGCTCTGCTGGAATATTCACAGGGAGTTGGTATATTGTGGTCTTGATGGGTTTTAGGTACTAAGGACAGAAGGTACGTAAAATGAGGAAGGTGGTGGGTCTCGAGATGGGATTTGACTACCGTAAAATCCTCCAAGGCTTTTGTGATTACCCTGGTTCCGTTTCTGGTGTTACGGAACTCGAAGTTTCCTTTAACCACACTATCGATTTCCTCTTGCAACTGCAACAGGTTAGTGGCAGCTGTAATCACTATTGGGGGCGGCCTTCTTATTTTCCCCGGAGCTCCCTCTTCTTGTCGTGCAGCCACCGCACTGGAGGGATCCGTGTCCATAGCGGCTGCCCTGAGGGGGGCGAAGAAATTTCGGGTGATGTCCACTTTCGGAGAGGGGTGGGTCTCTAAATCGTCTCACGCTGCGGTCTCATCGGTGCTATGGCTCTTTTTCCTCCAAACTTCTTTGAAGATATCCTCGTGGATGAGAGTGGACTTTGGTGTTTTAGAGTGACCTGCTGGAGTACTCGCCTTGAGCACAGCCTTAATTCGTGAAAGGCTACTGTGTCACTGAGGCCTTTACAGACGTTTTGTCTGTTCTCCTCCGCCGAGTTTACGATGGCACACCATTGTTCGCTGTCACCCACCGAAGCTGGAATGTACCCTGCAACATCCTCAATGTCGCTCACTACTTTTAACAGCTGTTCCAGCTGTGCGCCAGCATCGGGAAGTTGTCCTATTAATCTAAGGTACTCAGATTTTAAAGATGAACGTTTCTTTGTCCAAAATGACTGGTATCCCGGCACTGGGACGTCCGCCATCCTGGACACGACACTCCGTTAGTACACGTAGTTCGCAGTCACTCGTTTGCCACTCAACTAACTTCACAGAAGAACAATGTCCGCTACTAACAACACCAATCCTCTGAGTCAACATCGAACTTCGTCTGAATAGCACTCACTGAGACCCCTCTCGTTCAAATGTAATGTCTCACTCTTTTCACTGCATGAAGAAAATCATTCTTATAAACCTTGAGCAGACAACACCGTTTCCTACAGTGCCTCTATTGTTGCTTGCATACCCATTGCCTCGGCCACGAGTTTACCAAGTCCTTGCCTAGAAACGGCTCTGGTATATTTGCTTATCTCACGATTGTTGTATAGTAACGGCTCTACATGCTACAATATGCTGTTTCAACCTCTAGTCATTTCATATCCCATGCACATTAAAATCCCCTGCAGGCCTGTGCGTAGTAAAAGTCAGAAGATGGCATCTATAAGTACATGTGCCAGGAAACAAGACTATCTCAATCTGGCATTGATCTACACGTTTTATCTCATCAAAGCTACCATACAGAAACGGTGGTGTGCAACATTTTTGGCCAAGAAATGAAAGATAACTGTATTTTAATTGGCAAGGCTTTAATTTACAGATGACAGTAAAGCTTGGACAATACAGACCCACACAAAAGAACAGTGCACAGAATTATAGCAGTTGAGGTGCAGCTCATAAGAAGAGCAGGCTATATACGTTTTGACTAGAAAAAGAATTTGGGCATAAGTAAGCAAGGGGTTTACACAAGTACATAGACCTGAGCAAAAATGTGATTAAATAACAAAGTAAGGGAAGAATCTGCATACTTTCAGGCTCTTGAAAGTACAATAATGTATCCTGAAGATCCATAAAACGTGCAAAATTTGACTAGATGAGGACTAGTAGCTTCCCAAGCACCTTACTCCATGGAGTTTATTTTTTTTTTTAATTCGCTTAGTGGGGGGTGGAGTCCAATTGGGTCCACTCGGCACGGCGGCCACTGATTGGCCTATTGCAGCCTGCCCTGGGTGATTATGATCGAGAATTTCGTGGAATGAAGATTGGCAGGGGAAACTGAAGTACTCGTAGAAAACCCGCCCCAGCGCCACTTTGTCCACCACAAATTCCACTTGACCAGACCCGGGATCGAACCCGGACCGCCGCGGTGGGAAGCCAGCGACTAACCGCTTGAGCTATGGCGCAGCCTTACTCCATGGAGTTACTTACTTGGACGCATTCTTTCACAGGTATGAAACATATAGCCACATTTCATTTTATTTTGTTTTAATTTATTTCATTTTTAGCTAGTGTGTTCCACATTTTCACATAACCTGCATAAAACATTTCCTTCTCTGAAATTAACTGCCTGATCAACTGACCTACCGATCTACATCCCCAGTCATGTTATAAAAGCGGGATTAGGCACACCGAATATTCGTAAGTTCTACATATACGGACCACCACCACCACCACCACCACCACTACAAAAGCAGGGTGAGGAGCCTATACACAGGGGGCATACCTGAGTACAATGAAGTAAACAAACGTAGAGAACAAGGTAAGAGTATAACAAAATTAATAATAATAATAATAATAATAATAATAATATACTCGTATACTCTACCTATTACAGATGATAACTACATCAATATTACGAGAGCTACACACACACACACATATATGCCCCTGCGCAAGTAATGCAAACAGAGAAAGTCTATACAATGGAGTTTGGATAAAATGACTACAGCATCCCCCCCCGAAGGAAAATACTGAAATTTTTTAACTGAATTTTAATAAGATTTTATTGATTGTTTATTGATTTTATTAGACTCCATTATTTTAATTAGGACGTGTGGCATTCATATGTGACAGAAGAAGTGAAACTGTTTTTGCAAAAGCACACCTGATGAAGGCCATATATGGCCGAAACATGCTGCGAAAGTGAAAAGGAGAAGGAGAGAAAGAATAAGTTGCATTGTGGATGGAAATAGTAAAGTTTGTGAAGAATATATTGATGCATCAGGATGCTTAAATACATTGTTATGATCCAGCTTAGCTTGAAGTTATATTAAGTATAAGAATTCAGTTCCTGCCATACAGAAAACACACTGAACTTCCTTTACAAACATAAACTAGCTTATGCTGCATAGGAAAATAACTGCTGTTGAATCTGAGAATCACACAAAAGTTATAAATGCACTGTATGGGCAATACATTCAGCTTTTTAATGTTAAAGAAGGTGGTACATGTAGCAATCACTGTGCTCCAAAGTGCTAATAGGATATTTGTAACAGCTACCAACCAAACTGTATTCTTCAGGGCGTTTGACGGTTGATTTCTAAGTTTAAACTTACAGTGGAAACAGCAGAGCATTTTAATTCGTTGAAATACTGATTAAGTCCACAGGTACCTCAGACTGACGTCATGATATGCAGCTTTAAGGGCAAGTTCTTTCGGGTTATAAACTTCATTATATTTTAACAAAACTGTGACCTTTTAGAAGTGGTTTCTACTTCCAAAATGTCAGTGTTATCCTGCTGTAATATGTAAGCGAGGAAAGAACACTGCTTATTCCTCAGACGTTCTTTTATTAACGTAGTCCAGATAAAGTTAGCAAGGACTTCCACATTATGAAATTGGTTGAAGTCTGTCCACTGCAGTGCATGTGCTGGCAACAACACATTCACACAAGGCATGGACTGAGAAACTTCGCCTGTAAGACTGACAGGGGGATGGGAAAGCGATAGAATTGAATCGAGTTGCTGAAGACATGAACTACTCTGATGATCTTTTGTCATGATGATGATGAACCTGTGGAATCTATATCAAGGGATGAAAAAGTACTTAATACTCAGTCGAATTGGTTAATGAGTCAATTATTTTGACACGGCACGCGGTAGAGTACTTGGTTGAGCCATATGCTACAAGCTGGAGGGTCAAAAGGTAAAGCTATCCCTCTACTAGGCCGTGGAGGGCCATAGGGTTATGAGATGTCAAGGCTCTCACATTTTCTAGACAACTGGCTCATGGATGGCAGTGAGACTGTCAGCCTTGCGTGCTGGCAGCCCTTTATCCCCAGGAAAAATCCCCGGTCGAGTAAATGGACTTTGAGCCTCTATTTATTTATTTACTTATTCATTTATTTACAGTTTATTTAACGAAGCTCCCAGTAGCTTGGATTATATAGCATCGAATGGATGTAAAATTAATAACGATGAATTTGGAAAGACGTGGAAGGAAGTGATCGTGTCTTATTAGAAGGTACAAGCCTGGAGAGATTGAGTAAAACATGGAAAATCTCAGTCGGGATAGTTGGTATCCTGTCTGGGACACGAACGCTCCCGTCCCGAATACAAGTCACAAATGTTACCACCTGAGTCAATTGGCGCCGTATTACACTTTTTCATACAGCGCTTTCGGTAAAGCGGTAAAGGTAGAAGGTAAAGTTGTCCCTGTGTTTAACTAATTAAGCACTATTCCCAAACTAAATACTTTTTTAAAGTGTCTCATCTTAAATAATGAGCCCCCTTAGCAGAAGAAAGCAACATGACAAAAGTGCTGAAAGCACACTAAACCGCAGCAGCTCAGTCACTATCGTGAGTAGACTAAGGGCTGAATGACCGGGAAATTAGGGTTCGAACCGGCAAGGCCAGAAAGTTCTCGCCTCTTCATAATCTTCAGATCTCCTTGGGGCACATCTCCTATCCAGAGAATACCAGTGGCCATTTCCCTTAGGGTAAAGTGGCCGAGGTGTGAAGCTGACAGACGACTCACTTCTATCAAGTGCCCAGGTTAAGAATACGTGGAGTTCTACCTCCACTCCTCATTCGTCTTCACGGCGTGGTGTTCAAGTAAGCAGAGGGGAAAATTTACCTCTGATTTACTGAAATACTTTATGAACGTGACGTCATGCGAAGTTTATAGAAACGACAGAGACGCTGGGATGTGTGTACTGTCAAGGGGTAGGGTTTGGAAAGTGATCATATCCATTATACCTGTGAAACCTGAAATTCATCTACGTAATACGAATTCACACATTGCTCGGGCAAAATGCTGAGTTTTCTGGACGTTAAAGAGGGTGGTGCAACTGTGCTCTAATTTTTGCATTGCAAAGCCGCAATTTTAGGTTCTTAGAGCTGCTCTTCTGTCTAGGGTAAATAATACACATAAACTCCCTAAAATCTTCAAATGTATGAGCGAGCAATTCTACAGAAGTTTCTTGACTGTGCAGTTAACATAAAATTCTAATGGATGTTACATGCAGTAAGATACAACAATTTCTGTGAGGGTCGAAATTCTCGACGCTTGGCACTTGTAGGTTAATACTGTGGAGCACAATACTCACAGATATCTGAGCTCCCTAAGGCCGTTGAAGACCCCATTCTGCAGCCGGGTAATGTGATTATTGTTCAGCAATCTGCAAGCAGAGAGACAAACACAATGTTCAAATTCCAACTCCCTTAAGAAGTTAACAGTAGCTCAGATAGTCAAAAGGTGGGCGACATCCGAAGGTTCTCATTACTGTGTGACACTGACGGTTTTCACAGTAGCGTGTATGAATATCACCGTTGTGAGACATGCGACGCGGTGAAATTTAGTCGAAAATCAGCAACGATTCAGAGGAACCCGATTACTCCTCCATCTGCTATGCTGAAGATTCATCCGAAACATTGTTAAATGTCTGCCATATTACAAGAGGCAACAACCCAAACGGCCGCAATCCTGTAACCGATTGACGGCCGATAAGCTCCTCTTGACTTGGCGGGAGGGGGCTGAGAGACAACCGCAGCGCTCTTGGTGTCACAGTGTCCCTTCGTGGCCGCTCGGACCGTACTTCCTGCGCCGACTGCAGACTGCGCAAGGTTGTACGATAAAAGCGCCATGTCAGGGAACGCCGGAAACAACTTCTTGTTCCGTTAGTGATGGACTGCACACATGTAGGTGTGGTAACCTCTCGCGTTCATTGCGAGTGATGTGTTACTAGTGTTAATGAAACATGATAACGTTAAGCATAATGATACTATTCTTTATAGATAACCTATTATCAATACCTTTCATGCCCTGGACGCCACACTGTGGGGCAAAGCACTGAGGAGGAGACAGGAGGATGGTGACGAAGTAGGAATGGAAATAGGGGTTAGAGAGGGGACTGCAGAGGGCGAGGTGATGAAATAATGGGAAGAAAAGAAGGGCGAGAAGGAAGACGTCAAAATGGCTGAAGAGAGCGGGAGAAGACGGAAGAAAATGAGAGGACGACGATAAGAAAATATGGGGGAAAAGGGAGAGCAGAGGAGGAAACGACGGAGGGGAAGACGGGAGGAGAAAATGGAGAAACGGGTGGACAGCGTGGAAAGGATGATAACCGGGCAGCGGATGGAGAAACAAAGAGTAGTGGAAAGAAATGAGATTAATGATGAAAAAAGGAAGGCCTTGGTTATTGAAAAAGTTATTCTCACTGATCCTATGCAGTGAGCTACCTCTATCGTACCTCCTCCACTTATCCGCCCAGATGTCGTTATCTCTTACGATTATTCCGTCCGGGCGACTGACAAAGGTCCAAAACCCCATTAATTCCAAATTGTACAGTTTTTTTACTGCTAGTGGGTGGGACTAAGTCCCTTGTACTGCGGCCACTTCTGGCCTATTGTACTAGCCCCAGATGATAGGTGAGGGTGATTGTGGAGCAACTGGTGGAATGAAGATTAGCAGGGGAAACCGAAGTACTCGGAGAAAACTGCCCCATGGCCACTTTGTCCACCACAAATCCCACTTGACCAGAACCGGGATCGTACCCGGGCCGCCGAGGTGGAAAGCAAGCGACTAACTGCTTGAGCTATGGCGTGGCCTGTACAGAGTTTAGTAAACCTCTCCAACATCAAATTTCATGAAAATCCATTCTCGAGTTGTTGCATGTGGGCCATGGGCGGAGAATGTCCATACAAACTTACGTTTAACCAGCTTACGGCTCTTTTTACCTATGTATTCAGGGTAGAAAATCAAATTTTTAAAATATTTCGAACTTGTATATTAATATTTAATAAAATTTCTCTCTTTAATTTTTGTTCTTTTCTCCCTAAAATGTAGGTGAGGGGGCATATATTTAGTTTGTCCCCCTACCGCTGGCGCCATGATGCTGAAACACAGACATGCGAAACAGATCAGTGATTCCGTGCTTCATTATTGAGAGGGTGGGTTTCCCCATGCACCGCGACTGATAGTCTATTGTACGTCCCCCTTTTAATTTCTNGGTCTCTTAGAGACATGAGGTTCTTTTACGTGCCGTAAATCTACGACATGGGACCCACGGCTTAAAGTCCCTTCCGGAGGACTTGTTCCCTGAATTTTTCCATCCTTAAAAATTCCACGACCTCCGCCGGGTTTTTGAACCCGCGTACCTTGAGTCATGAGGTGGGAACGTTACCCCTAGACTACGGAGGCCACTGGCGGGACAGATACTTCAACTTCAAACTGCGAGCGAGCCAAACAAATGTCTGCTGAACAAAAAAATTTTCTACGAAAAAAAAAATATTATAGTTTTCCCGACGAATCGTTCAACTGAAACAAGCGTGGCGGAGGAATACATTATATTCCGAAAGATTGCTTTGATTTATAGTTCTGGATGCCACTTTTGGGCCACTCTATACTTACAGTGTGTTCAGTTGTCTGAGGTTCTTGAACGCGTTGGCTGGAATCTCACGTATCTTGTTGAACCTCAAGTCCCTGGAACAGAGAGAAAAAGGTTCACTTGCTGGGAATTTCCTCATGCCTTCATGCAAAAGAGATGAACACTTCCCTGCGGGTACAGACAGCCAGATCGTTAAACTGACTTCTTATTCCTCAGATATGAAAAAGTCATATACCTATACATGGGCCCCGACAAGATTTTTCTAGGGGGCAGTCAAAATTTTTCTTACAGACTCACGTTTAAGCCATTCACGTAAAACTATTATTCCTGACCGTTCTTGGGCTCTGATATCGAGGTACACAGACTGAAGGTACAGGGTGCTGAGGAGAATATTTGGACTGGCGATGGATGCAGTAAAGGGGGGGGGGGAAGAAAACTGCATAACGAGGAGTTTCATAACTTGTATGCATTCTTCGTCAAGTACACTTAGAATGATCAAGCCAAGGACGATGAGATGGGTAAGCCAGGTAGCAGTAGCGGAGAAGAGGAATACATAGGGGATTTTGGTGGGAAACGCAGAAGGAAAGAGACCGCTGGGAAGACCAGGAAGTAGGTCGGTGGGAATTAAAATGGATCTCAGAGAGATAGGATGGGGGGAGTCGACTGGATTGATCTGGCTTAGGATAAGGACTAATCGAGGACTCTTGTGAACACGGTAATGGACCTTCGGGTTCCATAAAATGCTGGGTAATTCTTGAGTAGCTGGGCGACCGGCAGGTTCTCAAGAAGGGCTCAGCTCCATGCAGTTAGTTAATTGGAGTTATTACTAAGTTTTATATTTGGCCGCGCCATAGCTCAAGCAGTTAGTCGCTGGCTTCCCACCGCGGCGGCCCGGGTTCGATCCCGGGTCTGGTCAAGTGGGATTTGTGGTGGACAAAGTGGCAGTGGGGTGGGTTTTCTCCGAGTACTTCGGTTTCCCTTGCCAATCTTCATTCCACCAAATTCTCCATCATCATAATCACCCGGGGCAGGCTACAATAGGCCAATCAGTGGCCGCCGTGTCGAGTGACCCAGTTGGAGTCCAACGCCCCTAAGCGAATTAAAAAAAAAGTGGTATATTTCCTTCTTTTTCACTTTCGGTTCCAAGAAAGACCGTGGATAGATGAAGAAGATGAAAGGAACAACAGCAGTAGCATCCCCAGTGAATAAAAAGGAACGTACAGAATATTTCTCTATTAAAAATCACCCTGCAGTAACGACTTTTAACAGTAACGCGGTACGTGCTGCCATCTGCAGTTGGAGTATAAACCATAGCCTATAGCAGGCATGTCCAACGCGTCGATCGCGGGACGATTTTTGGTCGATCTCATAGGCCTATAAGGAAATTATACGTGAAAAGCATGTAAATTCACTTGTAATATAATATGATTATATTCAGATTTTGAAGGGAAATTACGTGTTAAAGTAGTCTGTACTTTCAATGTATGTTGCTTTTACAACAAACATCACGCGTCGTGTTATTTTTATCAATATTTTTGCTTAAAGCGAGGTACGACGACAGGAGGGGGTGGTAGATCACTGTCAGTTTTGACACTAAAAAGTCGATCACAGCCTGTTTGAAGTTGGACATGCCTGGTCTATGGCAGTGTCGATAACATAATTTATGAACGCTGTCAGATATTTCCTGGTAGTCAGGAGGCTGAATCTCCTCTAACTCTCGTTTATGGTGTGTTTTACGACAAATGTAATTCGCTTTGCCACCGTAGTTAACTTTTCTGCCAGAGATCACCAAGCAGCTCGCCCACCCATAAATCCCAAGTCCAATTGCCCGAATCACATTCCTACCCGCATACCCCGGGTATGCCTGTGCATTACTCACAAAACTAAACGTGTTGATCTGTAGGAACGCAATTTCCTGAAAATTCCTGTCCACTGCATTCTCTCTCGAATCGCCACCGATGGAAACGCTTTAAAATGAAGCAAGATAGTATGGAAAATTGTGCACAGTGACTTATTGAAAGGAGAAGTGGTATACGTAAATTATTCAATCGCAGACACCATTATTGCGTTTTAGGTTCAGTCGGTTTAAGAGACAGAGATCTTACCCGTTCCTCGTGAATATTTCATTAAAAAATAACCACGAACATTTCCAGACTATAATTATTATTATACAACCGTCAACACAATAAATTCGTAATAAATAACCAATGTTAATGTATTACCATTCGTCACTAAAAAGGAAAGGAGAACACAATTTCACATACGCGCGAAAAAACCACCACGTACTATAACCAGTAAGAAGTGAAAAACAACGCAGGTTCCCAGGAAGCCCCATCTACTCCACGATAAACAATATAAAGAAAAAAAAATATTTTTAATTTTAACTTTTAACATTCAACCGAGTTATAACATTTTACATTTTAAGACTCATACCCAAAATATAGGGGGCACGGGGTAGCGTAGTTGGTTGAGGCTCCATGCTAAAATCCGGAAGGTCGCGGGTTCGAGTCCCGATTAGGAGGATTTTTTCAAGTTACCTAATCCTTCAACCGCACTATGGCCCTTGGGTCGACTCAGCCTCTAATAAAAATGAGTACCAAGAATCTTCATGGGGGGTAAAAGGGTTGCCGGTGCGTAAGACTGACAACCATACCGACATCTGTCAGCCGATTGTCTAAAGAAAATGTGGGAGCCTTTATTCTGAACTATCTTAAGGCCTGCTCGAACTTTGAAAAGAAACAGGTCAGATTATCAGCTCATACTCCTTGAATAAGTTATCTCAGCGGTGATTATAGACAGTTCTAGCATACAACGCCGTGCAGTCCAGTGAAAGTCAACCGACAATTTGGAGGAACATCTTATCCATCTTCAGGGTCGACCAGTAAGCTAAGCGACCAGAGATCTGCTTGCTGCCTATTTTATGCTGGTTTCTCGTTCGGCTTAACCTTCAGCCTGGCAGATGGTGGCGATATATTCCTCCAAAACACGGGTTACTTTCACAGACTACAGACACTGTAGTCCACAAGACAGGGCCTTCAACTCGTACTTGAACTCACTGTGCTTATTTCACTGTGACCCTTCTTAAACTACAGCTGTTACAAATACAAGTGGACAGTTTGCCGTTACACAAACAAAGGATTTTAGCCTCCTTTGCTTGTTTGAAAAGAAAATAAAAACATGCTTATGAGATAACAATGCTGTCTGTGTATCCCACCTTACTGACTTCTGAATGACTTAACAGATATTTATGAAACTTGGTATGTATATCATGACACTTGATTTCATCTCAACGGCGTACTTCATAAACCCCTCCCATCAGTCTGTGTGTCCATATGTGTATCCCCCTATCGTCGCTAGGCAACGGCTGGGTAATAATGTTACCGCGGCAGGAACACACAAGATACAATAGAATTCTTGGACGCGTCGTTTTCTATGAGGTCCGTATTGTATCAAAGGAAATTAGACGATTAGTTCTTCTCAGAATTTCTTGTTGATTGTCAATTACCCTGATTGCAATGTGGTACAGGGCTGTCAATTGGAAGATCTCTTGGAATTCTGACGTTCTGGGCAAGATGATGAGGAATAGGGGAAGGTTTTTGTTTGGTGTTTCCTCGGACGGTGACCGATGGGTAGATGCCATCTGTTTCACACTGATAATGTCAAAGCCTAGAGCTATCAGCCCGTCAGAGGTATGCTCTGCTGGAATATTCACAGGGAGTTGGTATATTGTGGTCTTGATGGGTTTTAGGTACTAAGGACAGAAGGTACGTAAAATGAGGAAGGTGGTGGGTCTCGAGATGGGATTTGACTACCGTAAAATCCTCCAAGGCTTTTGTGATTACCCTGGTTCCGTTTCTGGTGTTACGGAACTCGAAGTTTCCTTTAACCACACTATCGATTTCCTCTTGCAACTGCAACAGGTTAGTGGCAGCTGTAATCACTATTGGGGGCGGCCTTCTTATTTTCCCCGGAGCTCCCTCTTCTTGTCGTGCAGCCACCGCACTGGAGGGATCCGTGTCCATAGCGGCTGCCCTGAGGGGGGCGAAGAAATTTCGGGTGATGTCCACTTTCGGAGAGGGGGAGGTCCTCTAAAGAGTCTCACGCTGCGGTCGGCTTTGCTTTCAAAGAAGCTGGGGCGGTCTCATCGGTGCTATGGCTCTTTCGCCGCCGAACTTCTTTGAAACCATCCTCGTGGATGAGAGTGGACTTTGGTGTTTTGGACTGGTCTGCTGGGATAATCGCCTTGAGCACAGCCTTAATTCGTGAAGGGCTACTGTGTATGTGCCATAGAGGGCACTAAACAGCGTCTTCACACCGAGGCCTTTACAGAAGTTTTGTCTGTTCTCCTCCGCTGAGTTTACCATGGCAGACCATTGCTCGCTGTCACCCACCGAAGCTGGAATGTACCCTGCAACATCCTCAATGTCGCCCACTATTTTAACAGATGTCTCAGTTGTGCGTTCGTGACGGAAAAGTGTCCTATTAACCTATGGGACTCAGATTTTAAAGTTGAACGTTTCTTTGTCCAAAATGACTGGTATCCCGGCACTGGGACAACCGCCATCCTGGACACGACAATCTGTTCGTAGTTCGCAGTCACTCGTTTGCCACTCAACTAACTTCACAGAAGAACAACGTCCACCACTAGCCCACGGAGTCAACGTCGAACTCCAACTGAGTCACACTCGGTGGCAACTCCGTCGTTCAAATGCAATGTCTCACTCTTCTCACTGCATGAAGCTAACCCGCACTTCTGATCTTCTTGAGTGATTACGAGACTATCTACTTATCTCTGGACCACTAACTACTTACGCAATAAATTTTCTCAGTTTGTTATAGCCCGCACTGGTCACAGATAGATTACGATTGCTGACAGTACAGATTCCTCACAGCGAACCACGGAAAACCAGTAAAAGCCACTCATTTATCCTTCTCTCAAGCCCGCACTGGTCACAGGCAGATTACGGTTGCTAACAGCATAGATTCCTCACAGCGTACCAAGAAAAACAACTGCTCATTCAGAGCTCACTTCACTTTCTGCAAAGTCCAGGTCCACTCAGTGAATCGACTGACTCTTAGTAACTCGAATGGAATT